TAAGTAGCCTCCTCGTCTGTAGTGGTTTTCTCGTCCTTGAGGAGGTGAATAAAAAAATTAAAAAAAAAAAAAAAAAAAACTGTTCACCCAAATAATGTTTTTATTTTAACCACTAATGCAGCATTTTCAAAAACTAAGTTGAAATATCAATATCTTAATTTAAAATTGTTTAGAATATAATTTTGTAATTGAATATTGGTCAAAGAGTTCATATATAGGGCAATACAGAAATGCCAAAACACTGAAAAAAAAAAAAAAAAAAAAAAAAAAAAAAAAAAAAAAAAAACAGGAAGAAATGAGAGATCCAAAAACAAAACAAAAAAAAATTAAAATTTTTTTTTATTATAAATCTTAAACAATTTCTTTTTCATATTATTTACTTTGTTTACGTTGAAAGAAAATAAAATTAGATCAGAATATTAGAGCAGAAAAGGCAAAAGTAAGAAATATGTTAACTCAAATAAATTTATTACAATATGTTCAGTTAATATATAATAATTTTATTAACTGAATACGATAGTACTGAACATTATATATCAAAAGAGTTATTTCGGTTAGCAGTTACACTAAAAACACATTTCAAATGCTACAGAATATGATATTGCAAGCATTGCAGAGTGTAATAGTACTGTAAAACAAGTAGGAGTAAAATATTCAACAAGAATTTTATTACACATTTTTTGCAACAAGAACCTAAGTTTTAAAAATATTTACTAAAGAATTCAAGGTTTCTAAAGAATCCTAAGTCTCTAAAGAGTCGTAGGTTATCTAAATCATTATATTTAGGCTACTAATGGTTGAAAATATTAAAACAATATAATAATTAATATATATTAAATTTGCAAACTTGTTGATTTCAGAAATTATGGAAAATTTAGCAAATTCAACTACTTTAGTGTTTCTGAATCTATAAAAGGAAACAAAAATCTATTATAGCACACCTAGTGTAAATATTTCTTATGAAATATTTAAGTACACCAGAAACGAATTACACTTTTAAAACCATCATACCTTGTTCTGTTATGACCTAGATTTTGAAAATATTCTGTCAATATCTAAAAAAATAAAAGGGGGTTAAACAAGCTGTTCTGGAACTTTTAGTGTTTATGATAGATGATGACTTCCAGAAATGGTGCTTTCATAAAATTTTGTAATGATCATACTAATGCAAAAAAAGAATGTTTTAGAAAAAATTGCAGAGATTTTAGACCTAAAATTTGGGTCCTTGTGTCCCATGTATGGTTTCAATTAAAGAAATATTTTTTTTATAATATCTTCAACTAGGTTAAAATTAATCAACAGATTTAAAGTTTAATACAATAATCTCTTCTTGTTAAAAAGTTGTTATTATTTATAGTTTATTATTCCCCAATTAATTTTAATTCAAAAACATTAGGGGCGTGTTCTTAGAGTTTTAATATGATCGAGTCCGATCACTGGGATACAAATAAAAAGAAAATTTTAGTTTTTTGTTGAGGTTTTTAGTTATATTTAAAATAACAAGTTAATAATAACTGTTTCATATTTTACAAACTAACCTTTCACAATAAATTTTATATATTTACTCAGTAAGACTTTTAGAAAAGAAAGTATAACGAGAGTTGTATGTAACAATAGCCTTATGAAAATTTTTTAAAATAATTTTTGTGACATTTGGATACCTTGTAACCCTTTTTCCAGAACTGATTAAAATTATGATGAACAGATTCAGAGGCTTGTTCACTGCAATAGCCTAGACCTTTGTTTGGATAATAACTAGATAACATTTTAAAAAAATCTACTGTTTGTTTTACTAAAGCGTGTACTTTTGATACTCTTAATTAAGTACTTGGTGATACTCTTAATCCAAGTTTACAGTAGGCTTCTTGATAATCTTTTTTCTTTATTTCGTAGTTGGTTTTTAAAGTCATTGCTCAAAACAATTAATTTTAAATGTCTGTAGTATGAAAGAAAGATGTTTATCATTATCTAGTGAAAAAAGATCAAATCATTCAAAATATCTATATTATCAAGAAGTTTTGAACACTGTCTTCCCTTAAATTCCCCACCATGAAGTCTTGGTCTTTTAAAGCCCAATTTTTCAGTTTTGAATCAAGTTTTTCAGCTTTAAATCAAGACAATTAAAAAGTCTCTTGGTGTTTCCACTGAAAAGGTATAACTCCACCGGAGCAAGAACTTTTATAACCATTGTTTCATCTGGTAGATCGATAAATGGTTGGTCTACACAGTTATGATAGGGATTTTGATTTTTTTATTTTATTTCTGCATTATTTGAAATTATTAGCTGATAATCATTCCAAGCGTTCTATGTTCACCTTGAAATTCAACATTTTGAAAACCATCTTTGCTAGCTATACACTAAGGGCAAGGATGAGTCGAGCTGCAGTTTTTATTTCAAAATAAATATTGGCCAACTTCATATTGAAAGCACAAAAATATTTAATACTGCTTAAATTAATAAAATTGATTATTATTTACATAATTGTGTAAGTTCTTGCAAATTTTCTGCAAGTGCATTAAAAAAACTAACTTATTAAAACTTATTAAAAAGTGTAAAAAATCTTATAAAAGTATATGGCCTTTTATTTATAAAAGTGTAAATAAACATATTAAAAATTGTAAAAAAAAAATTAACTTATTTTTAAATATAACTTTTTATGGATATATGTGGTAGAGGGCTTGCCTCAAGCGAGAAGTTCCAAGTTTGATCTTCACCACATCGCTGGTAGTACCACGCTTAACTTTTTTCTCCGCACAGCAGCCTTGTTTTTCAAGGTTCGTGTTTCACAGTTATAAAGTTGAGAGAGGGTTGTAACCACAAAAAGAAGCCTTATTAACTGTAGTAGCTTTCTCTGCCTTTGGAGAGGTGATTAATTAAAAAAAAAGAAACAAAAGTGCAATAATAATGAGTTTGTTAACCCCATCATCTTTGTATTTTTCTTTCTGTATGTCTTTATCGTAAGTAAATTTCTTTACCTTTTCTTTAGATACCTTGCAACAATCTAAGATATTAAAACAAATTTTCAAAAATCCAGCTCCTCCATCAATGGCAACTTTTAAAATGTACTCATTTAAAATATTTCTTTTTTTTTTGACAACATTTAAAAATAAAAGACGATGACAATAAGCCATCACCCTCATCAAATTTAACAGATCATATGTCAAAGTATTCATTTAAAACGAAGTCATCTTAATCATTTTGTTTCTTGTATTTTTTTCAAACAATTTGTGACCTTTCCAGTTTCTAAAAATACTTAAAGTTTTGTGTGTTACTAAGATCACAACCATTTTTTAATTTGTTTACTTCACTTATATATGTAAATACATAGGTAATACATTGGTGAATTAGTAAACAATGCTTTGGAAGAAGTTTTTGGTCTTGGTATACTAATTGAAGTTCTGCATGTCGCAACCTTAATTAAATTGTCTTAGTATTCAAACTTTTGTTTAAGTGTTTTGGAACATTGCAATTTGACACCTTTATCATGTAATTAATAATCTACAATATAAAATTTTTAATTATTTTAAAATTATTATTATAATTTTGTTTTAATAGGAACTTAATAATATAATTGATATTTTTTTCGTGTCACATGATAGAGCCGAAAATATTTATCCTCGAAAATATCACCGAAATATTTCACAACCGAAAATTTTAGAACCGAAAAGTATACTTTCATTGCAGGATCGAATTACAAAATCCTTTCTTGCGCCAAAAGTTTTTAAACCGAATTTTACAACCGAAAAAATTTGGATCGGATTACAAAATCCTTTCTTTTTTTAATCTTTTTTTTTCAGTTAGTCATTTTACAATAAAATAAACAATTAAAATTTCTTTAAAATATATATACATATATCTTATACTGCTGAGTTAGGTGAGCATGATGATGTCATACTCACCTAACATCAAATAGCCTGCTGCTGGGGGCTTCAGTACATACATCGACTGACAAAAAGCCTGACTCGCAGTGGAGTGCTGCTACATCGACTGAGGGTTTGGTATGGGTCAGCAACCTTTTCATTCATTATTCTTTGTTTTCCCTCATCGTGTTTGATAACAGTGTAACTTTCGGTTGTAAACCATTTTAATGAAATTCGGTTCTAAAATCATTAATGACTTTCGATCGAAATTTTTTCGGTTCTAAAATCATTAATGACTTTCGATTGAAAATTCGATTGAGATTTTTTCCGTTCTAATTTTTTTCGTAAATATTTTCGGTTGTGTAATAAATTTCTCATATTCGGTTCTAAATTGAAAATAGGGATTCGGTTGAATCATAGGACGCCATTTTTTTTACCTTCATTTAGTTGCTTTATTAGGTTTTCCCTCCTCTCTGTAATGCAACAGGTGTGGGTTAATCCTTACCCAATAACATTTAAACATCTTTTACAAACTTTAATTGGCCCAGGAGAGGGTAAAATTTTCATGTTGAGTTTTGGTCTTTTTTGTATATTTGATCCAAGTATTAAATTACTCCTAGCAATAAGACATATATCACATTGGCAAAACTGTTGGTTTCTTTGATCTTAAAGAAATTTTAGGTCTAACATTATTTCCAGGCTCCGATCTCTGCAATTTTTTCTGAAACATTCTTATTTTGCACTAGTATGATTATTACAAAATTTTATGAAAGCAACATTTCTGGAAGTTATCTATCATGAACACTAAAAGTTCCAGACCAGCTTGTTTAACCCCTTTAATTTTTTTGGATACTGACAGAATATTTTCATAAAAAAAAAAGTACAATGGTTTCAAAAATGTAATTCGTTTGTGGTGTCCTTTTTTTTTCATAAGAATAGTTACCACAAAATAAAAATATTTTTTTTTCCCCTCTGAAAATTAGCTTTCGCATTTTATTGTTATTTTATAGTAACAAAGCAGTATTAATATTTTCTTTCAAACTTTTTAAATCTGGTAATATAAAACTGGTATTATTACTGTATTTTTTTGAATTTTTAAATAAATTATTTTTATATAAACATAAATATTCAAATTATACCTGGCAGTTGAACAATATCACAATTGATGTTCTCACTAACTTCAATCAACTTTTTTATTTCATCTGCACCGGACACAATGGATATAGCAAGCCCATAAGTACCAAAGCGTCCAGCACGCCCAACACGATGAAGATAAGTTTCAGTGTCCCATGGCATATCAAGATTAACAACCAAATTAACTTTATCACAATCAATTCCACGTGCACTCTAAATATTAATTATCAAAAGACATAAAAATGATTTATTTACAAATTTATTGTAGTATTGTGCAACAATAGTAATAAAAATAATGATAATAATAATCAATAACTAATTTTATAAATATAAATTTACCAAGTCTGTAGTTACTAGGATTCTGCAACTGTAACTTTTTAGTTCAGAAATAGCTTTTAATCTGGTTGGTTGCAGTTGGCTTCCTAAAATGCACCAATTATTTTTACATTTCTGTTTAAAAAACCTAATAAGTTCATTATAAATACAGAAAATAATCATATTTTTGGAAAATGGAAATCAGAAACCAAAATCCATCAACACAAAAATATATATGATACCATCATAAATATAGTTTTACATTAAAAAAATTGAACTTATCTTAAAACCTTATAAATCACAATACATTCTGCAGGTGCATTTTGAATTAATAAAAAAAGTAAAAATAGAAAAACAATCATAACGAAAAATGAAAAATGATTCAAATGAAGAAATTTCATGAAATAAAGATATAAAAAGGTCATAGACCATGTGATGCAGGGTTGCTGTTATGTGCTGGATTTAATTTTAGTTTAAGAACTAAAATTAATACACTGTTTCTGGTGAATATTATTATATAGTTATAATTATATTTTATAATTATAGAGTATAATTATATATTATAATTATAGAGTATATTAAAATATAATTATATAATATAATTATATATTATAATTATAGAGTATAATTATATATTATAATTATAGAGTATAATTATATATTATAATTATATTTTATAATTATAGAGTATAATTATATATTATAATTATAGAGTATAATTATATATTATAATTATATAGTTATAATTAAAAAGTTTAATTATAACTATATAATAACAATATAGTTTAAATAAAACTTTAAATAACACAAACAATAATAAAATTTGCAAATATTTTTTTCTTTAACTATCTTTAGCTCAAATCTCATTTGGTTAGTAAGTATGGCTTTTTACTAGCTTTATACTGTTTTGTGTGAAGTACTTTTATTGATCTATAATATTTTTATAAGAATGCTTTATGGTTTAAAATTTTTTCAATAAATTATGGCTAGTGATTTCTTTTTAAAAAAAAGTTGAACTTTTCTAAAAAGAAAGAATATCATTACATAAATGCTCGGAGAAAATGTTCCAATAATCTTTAATTGTGAAAACATAAACTTAAAGTTCCAATTTATATTTGATAAATAAGACTGAATAAAAGGTGATATTAGATAAAAAAAACAACCAATTAATGTCAGTATTATGGAAGTCATAAAAAAATTTAGATTTTTTTTCCAACTGTTTGAAATCATTCATAATCACAGAGAAATTGAGTGTGTTATAGTTGCTGGTTGATGAAAGGACACTCTACAGAATCAGGAATAAAATAGAGAAACATTATTTGAAAATACAAGATCTACAGTATTGTTTACTTGAGTTGGTTTATGAACAAATTGGTAGAAACAGAGACTATTGACTAAATTTAAAAAGACTATAGCATTTTTCGTTTGGTGATATAAAATTTAGCCACTTAATTTTTGTCATCAACAACTTGATGCCAAAAGTTCAAGATAAGCCACATAAACTGTGAAGCAAAATGATAAGCATGTGATATGAGTATATAACAAAAAGTAAGGTGAAAAAACATGTTTAATGGAGATTACGAGAATCAAAACTCGAGTCTACACAGATATCAGTATCTATTTGAGTCATTCTACAATAAATAATGATTTAATGTCATTCTACAATATATAGTGATTTAATGTCATTCTATATTAAATATTGATTCTTCCAGTTTTTATGCAATCTTTGCAATAGATTGAGTAATCTTTGGAACAAAAGAATTTTACTGGTGAAAGTTTTTTTTAAATCAAATTAAAGTTTGCAAATTAAAGTTAGGTTGCTTCAGTATATATATAAAACTGGTAAAGCTTATTTGCAAAGCTTTTTGCATCTAGAAGATAAACAACTTTTTAAGTGCAGAATAAAAAATTTTTTTAAATTTTTTCATTTAAACTAATTAAATTTTTGAGGCATTTTTTGTAGAAACTGCTTTGCTTTGATTACACGGCCTAAATATATATACGAATCACTACTACAATCTAATAATTTTGCAAATTCCAAAACATGATGACAGCTATGATTTAATTTCTGATGGTTAAAGTGTAATTGCTATTTTATGATCTTAACAATTATGTGGTTTCTATATATTATAATAATACAGATTCCAAATATTTTAAATTCAAAATTTTTTTAGTACATAGTTGTTTTAAATCTTTCTAATATCTACTTTGTTGGAATGTCTACTTTGTTGGAATAATGTCTACTAATTGTTTTAACAAATAAAAAGTGTTAAATTATAGTCAAAAGACCAAATTGATGTTTAGCAATTTAATTATGATACAAAAGCGTTTTATGAGATATCAAGTGAAGCTGCAGCAGCTTTTGGAAACAGACTGCTAAAAGGTCATGACAAAACTGTTTTATTGTCAAAAATAATTTACAACAGTCTATGTTGTAAATTGTTTTTGACAATACATTTAGTTATTCCAGAACAGAATGAGATCAATGACCTAAGTTCTGATCAAATGTTGTTGATGGAATATGGGAGTGGCACAAGTTCAGGAAAGCACAATTTTAACAAATGAACATAAAAATTTATCTGCAGTTTAATTTCAAATACTTACTTTTATTGATTACTAGTGTAAAAATTAAAAAATGTCTATCTAATTTAGGTGTTGTAAATTCAATATATGCTAATTATAAAGTTGGTCTAGATAATCATGCCAGGTGGCTGACATTAACAATACAAATTTTAGTTTAGTACTCAAGTACAGAACAACGTATTCTAGTTCTTAAAGAAATTGTAAAATACTTACTAGGGTGCATACAACTTTTAAAAAAAGATCTGTCCCTATTCTTAAAATTATAATAATTATAATATTATATATAATAGTATAAAAAACTATTTTTTAGCGATAAAACACTAATTAGATATGGTAATTGTAGGTTAAGCTTAATTTTTTAAAATGTTTTTTTAGGTTCAGGCACTAAAAACATCAATAATGAACATATCCTGAAAATTTGAAGCTAAAATATTGTTTTTTTTATTGAGATATCATTGTTTTGCTACAGCTACCCGTACAAAAAACAAAAATTGAGAAAAATCAATTTTAAAATTTATAAATCATGTATACTACTCAGATAAATCATTAAAAACCACCAGCACAATAATATTTTGCAGTTTCTTTATCTAATTTTTGATTAAAATAGTTTTTTCTAACAGATCTTAATTTTTTTCTCTTTTTTTTTGTTTCATCTGACATTTTATTGTTCATATTTTTTAGCCGTATAGAGTTTTTTTTACTTGCACCAATTTCAAAGTAACTACCAGATTTAATATTAAGAGCATCAAATACAGAAGATAACTTAGCAAAACCATCATTATAAGTAATGGTTGCAGAGTAAACAGCCATTTCAACAACAACTTTAGAGGTGAATATAGTTTTAGGGGATCGGTTCAAATTAGTTGATTAAACGCTTCATTTACATTTTGAGTCATGCCATGCAAACTTTTTGCAAGCATATCAGTATTTGCTAGATCTTGAAATACTGGCTTGATCTTTTCCATAATGGCAACGGGTAGATTCACCTTTTTCTTGTATGTAACATGACCAGTTGCTCTATCAGACTGCCATTTACACCAGCTTTTTTCACCCTTGGTGCAAAACATATGACGATATTCTTCAGAGGTAAAATTAGTGCAATGATGAAGTGAAGCTATTACAGAGTTCCTCATTTCCAAAAGACTATTTGAATTTTGTCGAATAGCCATTCCAACATAATTTTGCAAGATGTTAATTACTTTATCCGTGAGACGACCTTTACCAGATATACCTTTTCCGTCAGATAGTTTTAAAAAACCGTTAAAAATAGCAATGTAACTTAGATTTATGACATTTAGACTAATATAAACTTATAACATTAAAAAAAGAATAGTTACAGGCTTGGTATGTCTAATTTTCAGAGACTAACTTAAAGGCTAAAACAGTTGCTATGGTTGTTGCTATGTGATATAAAAATACCTTGATGTGTTTGAGAAGAATATTCTTGATATTCTAACATTATTTTTGAAAAAATATTTTTTCTATTGAATTCTTCAATGTTCAATTGTATGAATAACATTTTTTCAAAATTTTCATTTCTTTTTTATTTTTCACTAAAATAATGGCTGGATACCACCTTAAAGCAATTAGGTTAAATTTTACCAAAATTTAGTAGGGTTTGGGGGGGGGGGGGGAAGGGCATTACAAGTTTGAACTTTGCAACCAGACCCTATATGCTGGAAAAAAAAGGGTTATGTTAGTTCTCAAAAAAAGCGAAGTTAAAATTTTTTTCCAAAAATTAATCACAATTTTTGTAAAAAATACTAGAAAAAAATTTAAAAAATCTTGTAAAAACTTCTCTTTTTTTTAGTTGAAAAATATAGTTTTCTATAGTAAAATTCAAAATAACTTTTTTTTAATAAAATAACTTTAAAAATTTATATACAACTTAGCTTCTTTTTTTTCCACATTAAGGGTCAGGTTTTTAACAGAGTTGCTTGTGAGAGAATGAATAAAAGGATTTAAGAATAGGGACAGATCTGTTTTTGAAAATAGGGGGCATTTTATGCACCCTAATACATACAGACAAAGTATGGCTCAACTTGATTTGAAATTAAGATATTTAAGAACTTTTTTTTTTTTTTTTGTTATTTACCTCCCCAAGGCTGAAATGAAAAAAATGCAGCCACTGCAGTTGAGGAAGCTGCATATTTTATTTTATTGTGGTTAACAATCCTCGCAAATATCTTTTTTAAGTCTAAAATAGAAAACAAAAATGTTTCTCAAACTTTGATTGGATTATAACTCTGTATAAATGTGTTAAGCTTGGTCGTGTGTGACCATTCGGCGAATTTTATATGCCAAAGTTTTTAAATAAAAATATCTTTAATAGTCAACTTAACTAAAATTGTTTATCTTAAGAATGTAGAAGATGAAAATCTTCCCAAGTAATACAAACAGCTGAAACCCACTTTTATATTTTATGTAAGCAAATGATGGAAAGACAAATTTTTTACAGTGTAAATATATTTTATTATATGGATTATCCGGATGATAAATAAACAAATTTGCAATGAAGCAAACTAAATGCACTTACATATGCTTAATGAAAGTAACAACTTCTCAAATTTAAAAACCAAATAGAGAAAAAGAATTTATAGAAAAAAAATTTGAAGATTTGTATTACAAGGTATATTTTGAGATTTTTAAGTGCAAATTTAGTGGCAGCTTGAAATTTTCATAAACTATTTGCTTGTTATATAATGATATACAAGCATATCTAATGCTAATAAGGAAAAAATAAGAATTAGAATAAAATTAAAAAAATAAATCTCTAATTTCCTGACACAATTTTTAATATCACAAATATCTGAAAACACAACTTTTAAAAAAAGTATATTAAAATAAAAACGACTTTTTAACCAGTATTAAGATTAAAAATTTTAAACTTTTGAATTATTATCCAATTTGCATTACTATTTTTAACATTTTTTTTTTCTTTTTTAACTTTATTTTTAAATGCCAACTGATTAACTCTTCCATAACAAAAATTACATAGTTATTTTGAAATCACAATACAAATTATTTTATCTTGTGAAAAAATATGAGAACTTTATAAAAAAATTCCTATTTGATTACATTATTCATTAAAAAATTTTAATAATAATTTTCAAAACTGATAAAACATTCATTACAAGGTTTATTATTTGATGAAATTTTTTTTTAACTGATAATTTTTTTTTTTTTACAAATAATTTAAACATATATTGTTTAGAGTATTTGTATATAAAAACAATAATAAATAATTGCATAAATCGTCAAGATCATTTCACAATTGTCTAAGTAATTTTTTTATGATTTAAGAAATTTAAAAAAACTGAAAAAAAAATCGGTATTTTTTTAAAATTTTTACAGCTTACATTTCAACATTAAATCCAAAGACAATTGTGAAATGATCCTGACAATATATATATATATATATATATATATATATATATATATATATATATATATATATATATATATATATATATATATATATATATATATATATATATATATATATATATATATATATATATATATATATATATATATATATATATACATACATACATACATGAAACAATGACAAAAAAGGCATAACAAAATATCACATGCCTGCAATGAAAGTACAGGGCCATCCTTTTTTGTTCAACAAAGTACAAAGATGAGATGCTCTAAAAAAATAACACAACAGAACAATAATGGGATGTTATGACTTTAAAAAAAATAATTTAATATTAATTATTTATATAAATATTTAACTGATCTTATCTTAATTATTTATTCGGAATTTAAAAGAATTCATTTGTCATGGTGACTAACTTATTATCTTACCCCAATCAACTTACCCCACTGAAACAGTTTAACAACAACAACAAATAACAACCAAGAAACAAATTCTTCATTATCTCTAACTATATATAATCTAAAGATTTTATAAGCCTAGCCTGTATAAATTACTTCATTTTTTCTAACTTCTACTTCTTTATATTCTTAAAGGGGTAAACAAAGTCTACCTGTTGACCAGCCTCGCACCCCTTCTTCATCTATTAGGCTGGCGCAGATGAATATATAATACATTGTTTCCAGCTTAGGATTGGAATGCTGAATCTTCTTGACTCAATGCATTCTCCACATTCACCCTAAGATGCTTCTGATCACGGTTTAATCTCTCTAAAACTATTATCTCATTCTTTCATTCATCAGAATCCCCCTACCACCATACCTTTTACAACTACCTTAAAGCTGACTGGGACTCTTTCTATGATTTTCTTTGTGACTGTCCTTGGTTAGAAATCTTTCGTTTTCCTGCTGATAAATGTGCTTCTTACATAACTTCTTGGATTCCATCTGGCATGGAATCTTTTATTCCCTCTCGACGATTCCAAGTCAAGCCTCAATGGTTTACCTCACATTGTGCTGCTGCAGTTTCCAATCAAAACCATTACTTTCATATCTATCAGCATTACAATTCTTCAGAAAACAGATGTCTGTTTACTATTGCTAGAAACCATTGTAAACAGATTTTGTCAAACACCAAAGCCCCCAATTCTCAGGTCATGAAATCTCATATTTCATCTCAAAAATTAGATTTTGTCTAACACCAAAGTCCCCTATTCTTAGGTCATGAAATCTCATATTTCATCTCTAAAATTAGACTCCTGTGATTTCTAAAGAATCTTTAACAGACAACATACCTGTTGTAGTCTTGCAGAAGTTCTCCTGAGTTGTCGTCTATATTTTCAAAACTATTTAACAAGTGCTTATATGATTATTGTTTTCCAGCATGCTGGAAAGTGGCATTTGTTATGGCTATTTTCAAATATTTTGGAGAGCGATCTAACAAACACTTAATCTCTCATCTTGAATCTAATAACTTTCTGATCACTCCTTCTTCATATCCTGTAACTTCAGAGGTTTCTCAAGGTTCTATCTTTAGCCCTATACTATTTTTAATTTACATTAACGATCTTCCAGATATTCTCACATCTAAGGAGGCATTATTCGCTGATAATATTAATATTTATTCTTTTCTTGATAAGAAGCCAACACTCTCTGATCGATTGGAGGGGGCATTTGAGCTTGAAAAGGATCTCACTTCTGCTACAGCATGGGGATCACAGTGACTGGTGAACTTTAATTCAGATAAAACCCAATTTTTTGCAGCCAATCATTACCACAATAATTTAGATATTCCTATATTTATGAATGGTGATGTACTGGAAGAGTCATCTAACTTTCATCTTCTAGGATTAACTCTTACTTCTGATCTTTCTTGGAAACTATATACCAAATGCATTGCAAAATTAGCATCTGCTAAGGTTGCATCTCTTTATTGCGCTCGCCACTTTTAAAACTGCTATAGATAATTACTTTTAAATGCAAAATATGTGTGCTGCCAGCACACTATATTTTGCAACACACTTAACACTAGGGTGTAGTGAATTTTTTTTTTTTGAAATTAAAAACTTAAATACTATCTTCAGAAGTCCAAAAGGATATTAAATTTATTTTAAAACTAAATTTTAAAGTGCACAATGAAATTTTTATTTCATAACTTCAATATAAATTATTGAAATGGGGAATTATTAACAATTATAAAACTTAAACACAATATAAACTTTAAACACAACATATTTTTGTCAAGACTTAAAACAATTATCTGTTTTAAAAAAAAAATTAAAAATTAAAAAATCACAAGCCTATTAAGAATTTTTTTTTATGGAGAGGAAATGACCCAGGAGGGGGAGTGACCCTGAAGGTGCCTTTTTATTGGAGATTTTTGAGGCTAACTCTGAATAACAATGGATTTTTTGTAAAATATTTTCTATTTATAAATAAAAATATATAAAATAGTATGTTATCTTCACTAATAATAGTATGTTACCTGATATATCACTGGACAATATTTATATATATATGCTGCAATATAGTTTTATTCAATTAAGATTGTTAAAAACTTTGTAATTCATTGTTAAAAACAATGAAGCTTTATGTAAGCTTAAATAAATTTTTTAATTTTTAAATCAAATTAAACTCGAGAGGATTCCTATTTATTGGCTTCGCTTTATGCTCAAAAATTCAAAGTTTACAGAAATGATATTACCTGGATTGATAGTTTGAAAAAACCATACATTGATGAAATGGTACATTTTCAATACAGTTTAATAAAGCTTCACACTAGATCAATATAAAATATATCAAAAAAATTATAAATGATCTGCATAACTTTATCATGATTTTTATAAAATTACCTTTTCATTATAAAGAAGGTTGGGCAGAGCGTGATGTTTCACAGTAGTAAACATTTGTCTTACACCTAATATAAAAAAAAAAAAATGTTAATAATAATAACACAAACAAAAAAACATTTTCTGTAACAACACATGTTTTGCATAAACTTTAAAATTCAATAAGTTTAAAAAAATGTTTTTAAAAGCATTATCACTGCAGATACAAGTTCTAGTCCTAATATTTTCAACATTTCTTTTTTTAATCTTTCTGGAACCTAATTACTTCAGAATAGTTGTTTTGTATACATTGCAACTTTTAAGTTAAGTAACAAATTACTACTAATAATTGTTTACAATATACATAATTTATTTAGATATATTTTATGTATTTTTATTTATATAAGTGTGTATTTTTTTCAGTTTGTTAAAACAATTTTTTATAATTAATTTTTAAAGCAACAATAATTTTAAACAAAACTTGTGTTTTCAAAGATCTTTTTTTAAAAACAACTACAATTTTAAACAAAAGTTGTGTCTTCAAAGATTTTTTTGTAAGAATTAATAAGAATCAATCAATCAAAAACATAAAATATTTTGCAGCAAAAAGAATAAATAAAAATATATAAAAAGTTTTCAATAGTCTGATTCCAATATTGATCTACATTTGTGATTGAAGCTCAACATTTAATTCAGTATCATTGTGATTGGACCTGCTTCATTTTGATTCAATACAATTGTGATTGCAGCTGCTTTCGCTTTTTTGCATCTAATAACTGTTTCTTATCTTTGGGAAAAAAACAGTTATTAGATGTTTTTTTTCTAAAGGAAAGAAAAAGCTTAAAAACAAGATTTTTAGGTATGATTTTAAGTTGTGTAAAACATATTAATGTTAGGGTATGTGATTAAAAACAAATGACAGTAAATTTAAGCATATATGGCACAGATCACTTGCTATTCCTGACCAAGTCTTTTCTCTATGTGCTTTTAACATTTCATATGTGATTTTAATGCAGCATTTTAGCATATTAGCATTATTAACATTTTTAGAATAATAATTGCATAATAATAATTGTAAATAGCAAAAGTAACCACCAAGTAAATTTCAATTGAAAACAATTAAAAACTACATTATTCTTTAAAAAAATATATTTTATAAAGAAAAATTTTGAAGATACCTGAAACAAACATTTATAAATTGAGTTGCACATTTCTAGTACTTTTCCTGGATTTTTCAATACCACTACAAAATCCCAGGACTTTCTAAGACTGGTAGGGACCTTTGATATACTTGCTTCCTTATTGAAAAAACACATCTAATCTTTACATTATTATTTAGGGAAAAACAAAACTTACAAAAAAAAAAACACATTTAATCTTTACATAGATTTGTGTTGATACAATATTTTTACTTCAGCTGAAGTTATTTTAAATAAAAAAGGATCAAGAATATTTAATAAAATCAGTAAAACTGCCATTTATTGAATTAATTGAATACTGTCAGTGATAATAATGATCAAGTTAACGATGTAGATATAGTTACAGTAATTGATGCACCTTCAGTTTTATCGCCACGCCGAAAATTAAATACTGAGATAAATATACTGTTAAAAGAAAAGCTTTGATTTGAAATTGAAAAAAAGTTTAGAAAAAGATACTACAAAGAAAAATAGAAAAGATATTGATTGTGCTGTGAGGAAAAAAAAATTATTATTTGCAAGAATAAAATAATCATAACAAATCATAAAAAATTGTATACGATCATCTCTTGGCCATTTGCTCACAAGTGTTAAAGCAAAATGTGCCTTCTCTACTGAAGAGCTTATCGCCATGAAAATAAAATCGCAATTAAATGATAGAAGGAGAGATGATTTTGCTTCTTGTGAGCATATTTTCAAAAAGATGATGCATTGAAAATGTGGTTTTGTTTTCTTTTTAAAATGAACTAATTTTATTTCTATATTTGTGTATTTTTATTATATTTGTATTTATTTTTAACATATTTTTACTAACAGTGTATTGTTAAGTAGTGCAAACTAAAAATATTAAAACATGTTTTCAGTTTAAAAATTTTTTGTGCTCTATATTAATGTTGTGTATTTCAGAAAAGTTTTAAAAATGTTCAAAACTACCAGTTAATTTACCAGTTAACTGGTAATCGATTAGTTTTTACCACATTAATAGTTATTAATAAGGTTGGTCATTTTGCAATCCCTACAATCAAGTAGTCACAAAACTTCAATCACTAAACAGCAAAAAGACCAAATTGCCGCTGCCACCAATCAATTTGAATTTTAAAAAACAATTACTGCTACACAAGCACCAACAACCTCAACCAACCCCATTAATGCAAATGCAAATCCAACAGCTATTTCAACCTACAATTCCTCAACAGTATCCAAGACAAAACTATTGAGTACCTTAACCTCACCAGCCATTCCATCAATCAATCAATCAAAAAATCACTTCCTGCAGACTGACAGTACTTTCACTTCAAAGCAATAACAAAAAAATCAAATTCAAGCAACTAAGATTCTGGGTCAACAATTCGTGTTCTTTTAATAGCAATAAAATAATTTTAGATAACTTTTACTAATTTAAATATAGTTTTCATATAAATGCATGCTAATAAATAATTATGCATTAACTACTGATTACACTTTTTTCATTTGAATTGAGCAATTATTTTATAAAAAAATAGGCTCTTTTACAACAACAGTCTTCACAAATATAAAAAAAAGCAATTTACAATACTTAAAAACTCCTTGCTTTTAATGTATTGTAATTACTGAGATCTTATTTGTTACAAGAGCCTAAAAACTATTGATATTTTGAAAGTATTATAAAGTTTTAAATTATTTAGTTTTTGTCAGCTAAATTTAATTTTGAAACTTATTTTAACTTAAAACTTATTTAAACTTTAAAATTTAAAAGTTATAGATAAAAATTTAGTACTCAAAAAAGATTATACTTTCTTATAATTAACTTCTTAAAAAAATCTTAAACTTTTCATAATCTTTTGTTTGCTTAGGGTGTCAGGAAAGTTTGTGCAACTTATTAAAAAACTCATGTATTTAAACAAATTTTATGTCATTATTATATATCATTTTAAAAAGCATTCAAAAATAAACAAGCAAAGACCTAAAAAACATGAAACTTCTTCATGACAATGCTAGACCTCATATCACAAAAGCAGTGAAAACTTTTTTAGACCATGCCAAATTCAATATAGTTTACGACCCACCTTACTCACCAGACTTAGCTCCATCAGATTTTTGGCTATTTGACTGCATCAAAACTCATCTTGACAATCCTACAAACGTTGAAGTCAAAAAAGACAAATTATGAAGATACTTTTAGGCATACCTATTGAAGACTATAGAAAAACATTTGAGAAGTAGTTGAAAAGGATGCAAATATGTATAAATAATAATGCCAAATATTTTAAACATTTAATAAAATAAAAAATTAATTATTTTTTTAATTTTTCTTTGGGGGGTTGCACAATCTTTCCTGATGCCCTAAGTATTTACCACAATTGATTTATTTATTTAAATTAATATTTTTATTATAGATTATAAACAATTTATAGATTTTATCAGTTACCAACAAGATATTTGTAAAAGTAATTTATGTTTACAAATATCTTATTGTAGTAATATCATAAATGTATTAGGTCAAAAGAACTTTTCATGATTTTGAAATAAAAAGAAACAAAAAATTTTAAATTGTGAAAAGAGTTCACTTAAACATTTCTCTTTTTTTAATAAAAAAAAAAAATAATAATTTTAATTTACTTTTGTTTTACCTAATGAATTATCTTAATAAAGCTGATAACACTGCCCAACAGTGATTTTGTATCGGGACCAAAATTAGTTATTTCTTATGTATTTCCATCTGCTGAATTCAAAAATGACATTAAAAATGACATATTAGCTCTAGTTTAAGAAATAAAAATTTTCTCTCGAGGCAACGGTTTAATTAAGCGATCGCGAAATGAAAAATCCGGAAAAATATCAGGTCTTCAAAATTATAGTTAACGCAAAACCGTGTACTTTGTTTTCTAGGGGTCGAATCAACTTAAATTTGTTAGGGAAAAAGTTATAAAATATAAAATAATAAACTTACAACTGCAAAAGTAATAACACTCTAGTACTAACTGCATTATAAAAGTAATAACACTATAATAGTGTAATTACTTTTATAACGCACTTATAACTTTTATAATTCATTCTTAGTTCAAACAACATATATAATCCCAAATTTTAATTGAAGTAGAAAAGCCTCTAGAAAAATAGAATGGATATTTAAATAATATTTAAAACTTATTAAAGAACTTAAACAACTTAATAAAAATGTACTATATAAACAGTAAGCATTACGAAAAACGTTACTAATAGTCCGTAAAAATGCACGTTAATTATAAAATCAACCAATAAAAAGTTTTTGTTGATTGATTTTAAAATTTGCGCGCGTTTTTACGGACTTTTTGTAACATTTTTCATAATGCTGAACTTTTCATAAAGCTCGTTTATATTGTTGTTTTAGTGTATTTGTAAAAGTCCCTGAAGTTTTTAATAATATTTGATTATCTACTTTATTTTTTTAGATGTTTTTTACTTTGATTAAAGTTTGAAATTACTAATGTTGTTTGAACAAAGAATAAACTTTTAAAGTTATAAGTGCTTTATAAAAGTAATAATACTATTATAGTTTTATTACTTATATAATGCAGTTAGTGACTGGAGTGTTATTACATTCGTAAGTTTATTGTTTTGTTTTGTTTTTTATAACTTTTTCGCAAACAAACTTAAAATTATTTGCTCCTTAAAAACAAAGTACACGGCTTTGCATAAACTAAAATTTTGAAGACCAGATATTTTTCCAGATTTTGCAAATCGCAATCGCCTAATTCAACTCTTGCAAGGGTAACTTTCATTTTTTGAAAAAAGAGATTTTTGTTTTTGACTATCCATAATGTTTGATTCATGTTTAAAACTTGTGATACTAGTTATGTGTGTTTACTAACGTTTCTGGTCTAATCTATTCATAGTTTTTTTCTCATTTTGTAGTGTAAAATTTTACAAATCTACTCATCTAAAATTTTACAATTGCCAAGGAAGTGTGTAAATTTAGTGGATAATTTTTGTTACATTTGTGGTGAAATAACATTTTTCTCACAGAAATGAACTATGACACCTCTTGTGCAGACTGCTTACCAGCATTACTTCAATATGAAGGTAAGGAACCAGGATAAGTTATGGGCTCCACATATCTGCTGTAGCTTATGTTCGGTTACACTACAAGAATGGTTGAAAAATAAAAAAAGATCTTTGCCTTTTGCTGTTCCTATGGTATGGAGAGAGCCGAAAAACCATACAGATGACTGCTATTTCTGCTTGACCCCACCCATTAAGGCAGGTTTGTCAATGAAGAAAATAGGATCAGTTAAATATTTAACTGATCCTATTTTCTTTAATATCTTTCCACTGCCACTCGACCTATTCCTCATTCAGATAGTTTACCAGTTCCTACTCCACCACAAAGTTATGAGTTAGAAGCAGAAAATGAATACGGAAATGATGTAGAAATAGAAGAAAACAGGCCTTCTACATCAAATGATCCTGATTTTTTGTTAACAGATGTTGTGCCACACAGATTGAGTCAAGCAGAATTAAGTGATCTTGTTCGAGATCTGGACTTGTCACAGGAAAAGGCAGAACTTCTAGGGTCAAGACTAAAGCAGTGGAATCTTCTCCAATTTGATGTCTAGGTTTCACATTATAGAAAACGGCAGCAGAATCTGCTTTCTTTTTTTGAGAAGAAAAATAATCTTGTTGCTTGCATTGATGTTTTTGGATTAATGTATTGTCTTAATTTGAACTATGACCCAACTGAATGGAGATTATTCATAGACTCATCTAAGCTAAGCTTGAAAGCTGTATTACTGCACAACGGAAACCGTCTTCCTTCTGTTCCTATTGGCCATGCAGTTCACATGAAAGAGACTTATATAAACATGAAAGTTCTCCTCAACTCAATTAATTACAATGAACAAAAATGGAAAATTTATGGTGATCTAAAAGTCATTGCTATACTTTTAGGAATGCAATTAGGGTATACTAAATACTGCTGCTTTTTGTGTATGTGGGATAGTAGAGACACAAGTTCACATTATATAAAAGAAGACTGGCCTGCAAAAAATCTCAACACAGAAGAAAAAAATGTTATTGTTGAACCACTTGTGGATCCAAAAGATGTTCTTCCACCATTACATATTAAGTTGGGTTTAATGAAAAATTTTGTCAAAGGTATGAACAAAGAAGGACAGGCTTTTATGTATTTAAGAAACAAATTTCCAAAAATAAGTGATATAAAAGTTAAAGAGGGTGTTTTTGTTGGACCACAAATACGCCAGCTTATGAAGGATCCTGCATTTGACGAAGTTTTGAAAGGGCAAGAAAAAGAAGCTTGGGAAGCTCTTAAGGGAGTGATTTGTGGATTTTTAGGCAACAAAAGAGATGATAACTACATTCAATTGGTAACAATACTTCTGCAAAAATACCATCAACTTGGATGTAACATGTCCCTCAAGATTCGTTTCCTCCACTCACACCTAGACTTCTTCCCCCCCAATTGTGGAGCTGTTAGTGATGAACATGGGGAAAGGTTTCACCAAGTTATTTCTGTAATGGAACAAAGATATCAGGGTCGCTGGAATGAGGCTATGCTTGCAGATTACTGTTGGTTTTTGTGTAGGGATGCTCCAGAACTAGTCTACAAAAGGAAAGCAAAAAGATCACAATCTCGTGACGATACCCTTATAATCATCTTTAAACCTATTAACTTGATGATCATGATTTTTTTGTTTAAAACTATTAGAATTTTTTTTGTTTAAAACTATTAGAATATATCTGTAATAAAAAAAAACCAAATGTACTTTAAATGTTATTAGAATATGTGAATTATATGTCATATTGTTCTGTTGAAAATTAACTGAAATAAAAATTTATTTCCATTGTATATCTCAGAAACTAAAGCTAATAAAAAATTTTTGTTGTTATTTTCTTTTTTCTCAGCCCAAAATTAGTATAATTTGAATAAAATTGCTAAAGATACAAAAAAAAAATATTTTTTTGTTGCCCAGTGTAATAAGAAAAAAAAAATTACTTACTTTTGCACATTATAATCTATGATGGAGAGTCTTATGTTTTACCTAATGAATTAGTTGGCTGACGATAAGAAAAAAAATTCTTCAAAAATTGAGAAACCATTTTACATTCCTTTGAAACTAAATATTACATTCAACTTTTTACTATTTTACATTCCTTCAAAAAGTAAAAATTTATATTTTTAAAATCATATTTAACTTAAATTTTATTCAAATGAAATTTTTATAAAATAATTTATTACTTTAAAAAATTCACAGTTGTGATAAAAGTGTTTTTTTAGACCTAATACTTTCTGAATAAACGTCAAATAAGCAATATTAAACAATATTATGTTCTAATTAATAATAGAAAATGCGGAAACATTTCACTGTGACTTTTAAAATTATTTTATTTACTTTTCTTGTTACAGAATTCTTAAATAAAAAAAAAGCTAGAACTACAGATAATAATCAATTGTCACAATTTTAGGTGACTTTATTGCAAAGAAAGATATTTAGCTGCCCTTCACAAAATTTGGTACCGGCCAGGCCTGTCGTGCAACCACAAGTGTACACCTGTGTGCGTGTATATATATATATATATATATATATATATATACATATATAATAATGACAATAATTATAAAAATAAAAAAAGTCAAAATTTTGGATAAAACCTTTTAAGTTCAAATCATCAGTATTAATTCTAACATGAATAGGCTCATTCATATAAATACTCAAGTAATCTGCTAAATGCTGAGGATATGTAGCTGAGAGTGCCAAAACTTGTTTTTGTTTAGGAAGCGTAGAGTATATCCAACTAAAAAAAACCATTACAAAAGTTGACAATATAAATGTATATACACACAGATATATATATATATATATATATATATATATATATATATATATATATATATATATATATATATATATATATATATATATTCACACACATATACATACATATGAATATATATATAAATACATATACATTTATATATATATATATATATATAAATATATATATATATATATATAAATATATATATATATATATATATATATATATATATATATATATATATATATATATATATATATATATATATATATATGTATATATATATATGTATACATATATATATACATACATTTAAATATATACATATACATACTTACATATATATATACATAAATATTAATATATAATTTTGTCAAATTAAATGTCATAGAGACGCTAAGTGCTGTTTTTTTATACCACAAACGGTAAGTTTAAGACCTTTACTATAGGTGTATATATGTATATATATATATATATATATATATATATATATATATATATATATATATATATATATATATATATATATATATATATATATATATATATATATATATATTAAAAAAAATAGTCAATAAAATATACAACAGTATTTATCCTTCTGATGTTATACCGCCTCGATTATACGACTGCATTAAAGCTCATAAAAGTGATAAAGATTACCCAATGCGAATTATAGCCTCAACTGTTGGTACACCCCCACATAAATTAATGCAGCATCTTGTTCAGCTTATACAACCTACGCTTAACAAAAACCAGTGTAGTTTAAAAAATTCATCATCTTTTGTATTGGAAGCAATAGAATGGACAATTGAAGAAAATGAGGTACAGGTATCATTTGACGTAATAAATTTGTATCCATCAGTACCACTCGAAAGCAAATTTAGCTATTATTGATATTTTAAATAACGATAAAGATGATCTTCAGCTGAATAGCTGAACATCAAAAAAACGTGACTAAAGCAAACTGGAAAGCGTCTGGAATTGTCGAACACGCACAACATTGCAAAGGTATAATTAATTGGAATAATCCAAAAACACTTTCAGTCATCCCAAATAATTATACAAGAAAAATCAGGGAGGCAATTGAAATAGACAGATTGCAATGCTGCTATCTAAAAAAAAAAAATTCTAAACTGAGATAATGGCAACCTAGTTACGACTTACCATTGGAAACCATTTTTTGATAAATTTAAGAAAAACTTTTATATTATGCAGCAATGACATCATTTTTGTAAATAACGAATTTTTTTGTAATGAATTAGTTTGAAAATGGCTCCAACTATATGAGCCAAAATGTCACCTTTAAAATTAAAAAAAATTTTAATAGTTAAATAAATAGTATGTCACCGCATATGATGTATTTTCAATTTTATATATAAATTTCATCATACTATTAATATGTCATTAAAAAATTATATATATATATATATATATATATATATATATATATATATATATATATATATATATATATATATATATATATATATATATATATATATATATATACCACTTCTGCTACAGCATGGGGCTCAGAGTGGCTGATAATAATTCAGATAAAACTCAATTTTTTTCAGCCAATTTTTATCGCAATAATTTAGATCTTCCTTCATTTATGTACTTTATGAGTGATCTATCCTTCATCTTCTAGGATTAATTCTTACTTCTGATCTTTCTTGGAAACCATTTATCAAATCTGTCACAAAATTAGCATCTGCTAAGGCTGCATCTCTTTATCGAGTTTGACACTTTCTTACTGCAAATTCTATTCTCTATGTCTATAAATCTTAAATCCGGCCTTGTATGGAACACTGTTGCCATATCTGGGGCAGAACTTCTAATGATGCTGCTTCTCTTTAGACAAGGTGCAGAAATGCATTCTAAACATAGTTGGACCTGCTCTTGCAGCCAACCTCCAACCATCATCACATTGCCGCAATGTTGCTTCTCTTTGCCTTTTCCACAAATAACATAATGGGCACTGCTCTAAAGAGCTAGCGTCTCTACTAAAATTCATTTTTATGTTATGTGTCATTCAATTAAGTCTCATCCTTTTTCTGTGACTGTTCCTAAGTGCTCTAAAAACTCTAATTCCTCTAGTTTTTTTCCTGGAACATCAGTTCTTTGGAATTCGCTTCCTTCATCTTACTTTCCTGATTCATATAATTTAATCTTTTTTAAAATCATATTCACTTCCAACAAGGCTGCAAGCATCCATTATCAGAGTAGGAAGTTACTGGAAGAGAAAAGATGATATGAGTCAGGAAAACAAGATGATGGGAGGGAATTCCAAAGAACTTATGTTTGAGAAAAAAAACTAGACAAAATAGAATTTTTGGGGCACTGAGGAACAGTCATAGTAAAAGGATTAATTGAATGACGAGTAACAAGAGAATAAATTTTAGTAAATGGCACAAGAAATGCTAGCTCTTTAGAGCAGCACCCATTATAGTATGTATAGAAAAGAGAAAGAGAAGCAACATTACAATGATGTGACAATGGTTGATGGTTGGCTGCAAAAGCAGGTTCAACTATGTTTCCAATGGATTTTTGTACCTTGTCTAAAAAAAAGAGGGCATCATTCATCATTGATACTAAGTTGTATGCCTAATATATTTGTCATTGATACCAAGCTGCATTTAAGAAAAACGTTTGGTTTTGGTAAAAAAAAAAGTTTGGTAAGTTTCTTCAACAAATCCATAAATCAAGAATTTGGTACTTAAAACATAACTTTTTGTAGAATTGTTAAAAATTTATAAGTTTTTCACTTTTAAAAAACTACATTGAAGTAACTAAACACTATTTTAAGATTATTTTAATAGGGAATTTTTGCACACACAAAAAAATGATTTAATAATAAAAGTAATACTTAATTTGTTCTTGAAAACCTTCTTCCAATAACTTATCAGCTTCATCAAGCACAAACAATCGAATCGACTTTGTTAACATAATATTGCTTTCAATTAAACTTTTAATCCTGCCTTAAAAATATATTTAATAATTATAACTAAACTTTATTAATATATATTACTCCATATAGACAATTGAAATAGATAACCATAGAAGATCACAATGTGATCACTATACATATTATATACATCATGTCATGACATAAAATAAATTTTATAGTTATAAAAAAATTTCACATAGAACTATTTGAAAATACAGAAAAATAATTGATTTTACCTTATGTAAACCTTTTGAAAAAAACCCCACAAACTTTTATTATATTCTGGGTTTTATATATTAAAGAAATTTTTTTTTTTATAAAGGGTATATTAACCTGGGTCTCAAAAGAACCAGATTTTAAAATTCATAATCTTATTTGGAGATTTCAAAAATTAATCTTGTGGCCTGGGTAAGTGCTGAGCAAACAAGGAAAACAATTCATGGTAAACTTAAAAAGATATGTACATTACAAAGGAGATTCAAAAGAGATACAAAAGAGGTTTGCGGCCTGGGTAACTGCTGAGCAAACAAGAAAAAAAACTCATGCTAAATTTAAAAAGACATGTACATTACAAAAAAGATTTTCCTGATCTTAGTAAAAAAATAAAAATAGCATTATTTATCCTATCCCCTTAAAAAACATATACACAACTAAATAATATTTTTATAAGTAATACTCATGTTGCTAATTATTCTATTTGGTGCTAGTTCTAGATTAAAAGAATGATGGTAAACAAATTAACTTAACCAAAAAATTTACAAAATGTTACAGAAAAAATTTAGACCTATTTTGGGATGGGGTTGTGTTTTTTAATAAACTCTTATCAATATTTAAGGAATTTAATTAATCAAAGTTATACTTCTGATGCTAATACTTCTTGATAGATGTGATTTTAAATTTTGTTTTACAAATATATTAGTAGGTATCTTTTTAGGGAGAACTGGATGGTCAATTTAGCATACTGTGTACACATATACACATTTCAAAATATTAATATATATTATCTATATTTTTTCGTCTGTATTTTTTTCTTAAAATATTATATAAGAATAATTATTTTTTTCTTTAATTAATACTCATTTAAATTGTAAACATCATTAATGTGCAATTAAAAAAAAAAAAAAATTTATCCTGTCATAAATTAATATTTTAATATTATTTTTTATATTTTTTTATAATCTTATATATTTTATTTTTTGCGTTATAATAATAAAAATTTAAAACATAGTTTAGCTAATATTAGTTATGTTGTTTTAATGAATATTTCTAATACTTATGAAAATATGATTATTTTAATGAATAAATGATTACTTCTAATATAATATGAATATATGATTACTTCTAATATTTTGTTAAGGAGCAATAAGCTATATAGCTATAATAACTTTTAATAATATTTTAATTAATTTTTTCAATAAATTTTATTTATAATAACAACCATTAAAATAAACATTTAGCAAAACAAAAATATATATAGATAATAAATTTATAAAAACAACCTGGTGTTCCGATTGCAATGTGACAGGATTTAATACTATCCACATCATGTTGTATTGGCATTCCACCAATAAAAAGTGAGCATTTTAATGATTTCATTTTTTGACCAATTTTCATAATGACATCATGAATTTGATGTGCGATTTCTCTTGTTGGAGCCAACACCAGCACCTTTGCATTTAAAATAATGAATAGGAAAACATCATACCGTAAAAATACAAAACAACTTCTTTTAAATTTTATTACTTTAATGAGTTACAAAAAAAATATTCACAATATTTTATCAGTTTTTGACTATTTTCAACATTTTGACATACATACCTTTTAAGACTTTGTTTTAAAGTTTTTTTTATTTCTGTATGTTAACAATTGTTGTGTCAAATTATACATCGTAATATAAACAACTTTTGTGAAATTTGTAACTTAAATGAAGATGACTAATTGTAGTCTAACCATGTATTAAATTTTTTTATCAATTAAGAATGTCTTACTATGCAGTAGTGGTGTAGTGGTAAGAGCGCTTGCTTTGTAAGAGAGAGGTTTGGAGTTTGACTCCCACCATGTCCCTGGAAGTACCAGGCTCAACTTAATTTCTCTGAGCAGCGGCCTTGCTTGTCAAGGTTTGTGTTTCGGAGTTAAAAAGTTGAGAGAGAGTTGTAACACAATTTACAACAAAAAAAATATATATATATAAAAAAAAAATGTGTAGCCTCCTTGACTGTAGTGGCCTCCTCGGGCCTTGGGGAGGTGAATAATAAAAACTTATGATACTATATGCACTGACTGCTATCTTATCTATCTTACTTATGCACTGACAGCTAGAGCCTACAGGTTACACAATTGCAAGCTTTTAGATCAATGCTTGTATTAAAGCCTTCACTAACAACATCATCAATAACGCCATCTGCAAAATGGCCATATGCAGAAAAGATATATAAATACATATATACAATGTATACATAAATACATATATACACACATACAAATCGCTCAGGAAGAGTGCCACCAGTTTTTAAAATTTTCTTTGTTAATTATTTTTTACGAATGAGTTCAATAATATTGCAATTTTTTTGTTACATAACGTCTAACTCCTAATAAGAGATATAGAAAATCCAAGATAATAATCGCTCGGTAACCTAAGTTAAATATATAGCATCAAAAAAACCAGTTATTTTCCATAGCCAATCACCTCTGATAAACTTTTATATATATTTTAAATTGGTATAGAATTCTCAACATCTCGTAAAAGTTTTTAATACAAACTGTTTTACTGATTCACAGTAGTCTGAACTAAAAGTTGATGCATTTTTTTTACCTTGTTTTCCGTGTAACACAAGTTAAGTGGTATAGAAAGTTAAGTGGCATGTTCGCCCTTTTTTGGCCAGACTCAAAACTTTTTAGCTTATTTTATTTTTCAGATAAACAACTTTCATACAAAATGGCTAAAAGTTTAATTTACAGTTTAAATAGGCAAATATTTGATAAAGGTGTTGCATGTGTAACATAAATTAAAAATGGAATTGCCCATATATATATATATATATATATATATATATATATATATATATATATATATATATATATATGGGCAATTCCATATTGATTATGCCATACTAAAATAATCATAAACTAAGATTTCAGTACATACATCGAATAAGAGTTTGGGCAGGCAGTATTTACATATGAAGAACATTACATTAGTCTTTTTATCACTATTCTTCTTTTTCTGAAAAGGCATCCTATCTAAAATTATGGAAAGAATTTTTTTACAAATTAAAAAAATATATATAGCAATTCACTAACCTGTAGTTTTGATAAAGATAAATTGATTGATTCTAAAGCAGTAACAGCAAATACACACGTTTTACCAGTACCACTCTTTGCCTGACAAACCAAGTCTAAAATAAATTTTCAAAGTTTTTGAAATTATTTTGGATTTAACTTTGATTTGTAAACTCCATTCAAAAATTTATAAATTTATAAAAAAAAATAAGCATATTTCTTAATTTATTACTTTAAAGTAATAAATTAAGAAATATACTTACTTTTCTAAAAATGTCTACAATTGCACAGTGGACCAGAATTCACTTTTACTGGTCAAATCTAATAACTTGTCATATAGAAAAGATTTAAAGACCATTTTTACACTGTTTACTAATTTGAGGATTGTGGTTTCAATGGTGACATTAGTTTTAATTTTGGGTTGCTATGGGTACCTAAATTGCTTAGCAACACAGAAGTTTTATGAAAATTTTATGAAAAGTTTTTTAAGTTTAAAAAACTTTTCATAAAGCCATTTTACAAGGGAAAAAAGAAAAAAAAGTTTAAAAGCAAAATCACACTAAATCAAAAAGCCTTAAAACAAATAGTCATGATTTTTTGCTTTCCCCAAACATATAGTTGATGTTTTTTGCTCTAAAGAATTTCATAGTTAAACATTTTATAGCTAGAAGTATAACATTTTTGTATAAAAAAAAACTTTTACTTAAAACAACACTAACCTGCTCCACACTTTGCTAAAGGTATTGATTGCAGTTGTATGGGAGATGGTCGATCAAATCCAACAGCCTTTAACCCCAATAAAACATCAGGCGAAAGTAATAGAGATTCAAATCCAATATCGTCATCAATGGCTACATCAACTGTTCTTTTTACAAAATTATCCATGTTTTTTTTTTTTGAAGATTCTCATTAGAATAAATAAATACAAATATATAAAAAAATAAATATAATAAATATAATAAAAATATATGCAGAACTTCAAATATATCTAGCTCAAGACACTTAAACATCAGATGGGTCCCTTATACCGAAAAATGAAAAAAGTTCATGGGATTTAAAGTCTTAGAACATATTTTCTTTTAGCAAAAGATCCCTTGCAGCTATTTTACATGAAGAATTTGGATTTAAAACTGATTTTGGTATCCTAAATGTCTTGATTTTTTTCCCAAAAATAGTTTACAAGTCTCTAGACACTTTTTGAGCTTCTGGGCACCAAAGATCTGAAATAAATAGTGAATTTGTTACTGTTAAGCTAATCTATGTCCATATGATGAAGTTAATTTTATATAAGTATAATCTAGCTAGATATCAACAATCATTGAACCATTTCTAAAGTTAATTTTTATTAAAAAGTATTTTTAAATATTTTAATTTAGTATTAACTTTTAAAACAAAAACTTTCTGTCAAATAGTAAAGTAGTGTAGTAACTTTCTGTCAAAGAGTAAAGTAAAGTAGCAAAGCACATGTAAGTAGTGAAGCTTCCACTTAAGGCTATTTTAGTATGGTCAGTGATGATGCACAAAACATCGCTTCCACTTGAGACTATTTTAGTACTATACTAAAATACCCATAAGTGGAAGTGATGTTTTGTGCAGACCAAAATTTTATAAGAAAGTTATTCCTTTAAATCTGGACAGAAATAAAGACCAGAAATAAATAGTGAATTTGTTACTGTTAAGTTATCATATATATGTTCAAGTTAAGCTAGTCATATGTAGATATGATGAAGTTAATTTTATGTAAGTATAATCTAGCTAGATATCAACAATTATTGAACCATTTCTAAGGTTAATTTTTATAAAAAGCAGTTTTAAGTGTTCTAATTTAGTAACAATTTTTAAAACTAAAGCTTGCTTTATGTATGGGGGAGGTACGACTGCAGTAAAAGTGGTAATTTTTGTTCACACTTTTAAACTCTAAAATATTGAAATGCAAAACTGGAAAAACAATGGTATTTAAGTGATTTTAAAGTCAAGGATTTATTTTAAATTAAAAAAAAAAAATTAATTATTATAACATTAAGTATATGTAGAATATTTTCTTATAAATAAAATAAATAATATTAATCTTATAATATCTTCCAGTCATTTTAAAAACATAGCATCCGATTAGAGATTACCAAGCATTTTATGCTTCTACACAACAGAAAGTTAAAAAAAAAACAAACAAACAAACAAAAAAACAATTGAAATATAATTAAATACAAGAACAACAAGAAAAGAAAAACAAACTTTTTCTGAAAACTTTATTGAAATTTGTTAACTATAATTTTTAAGTTTTTATTTATAACAACTAAAATTGTTTATTTGTGTTATCGTCTAATTTGTTAAATCCATTAAAAAATCTTGAAATTCAATTCCATAAGAGCCTATGCATGAGATTTTCAAAAAAACTAGAATTCAAATATCTTATGTTTTCCAGCGACTATAAAATGCAGATAAATAGTTTTTAAAAGCTTTAGCATTCATATTTTGTAGGGCTTGAGAATATTCTTGGATCACAACTGGAGGACAATTGTTCCTTGGAAGAAAAATTTGCTCTAGCCACTGAATGACTTCAACTCCTCTTTTTTGTAAACACATCTTTTGAGTGTTTGATATTTCTTGTAGTACCTATAACATACAAAAAACAAATGAATTTTTTTTCCCACAAGTTACGCAAGGAAACAACAAGGTATTGTTATGAAAAACAAGGTATTGTTGGGAAAAAACAAGGTATCTAAAACTTTATTTCCACTCCCTTGTACACTTGTTTGAGCCATAATCCTCTTAATATCTTGAACTCCTAATATCTCGAACTTTTTTCTTGGATCCCTGAGAGTTCGAGATATCAAGTGTCAACTGTAATCTGGTAAAAAGTACTGCTAAAAAACCAAAGCTCCTGAACAGCTACATGAACAATTTAACAAGCAGTCAGAGATTCAATAAAAGTAGTTAAGGAAGTGGATGGCAAACCATTCAAAATCAAAAAACAATTAAGGGAGTGGATGATACTCAAAAAATCCAAAAGATATCAGCTGATATCTTAAACAAACATTTTCAAGCATTTGTAAAATAATGATTTGCCAAAATCTTTAAAGATTTTAAATATAAAAATGGTTTTCTAAGGTTTATAACAAAAAAAAAGAAAAAAAAGTGGTGTTGATAATTTACAATCAACTAAAAATCGCACCTCTACAGTGCGGTGCAGATAACCTCACTAAAAGTTCAAGATCTTGCATGTAAACAAATGATGATTACTAAATTATTCAACAGCTAAGCATCTAACTTGATCATTTCATTTGTAATACAGTCTGGTTTCATTTAGTTAATTGATTTGAAAATTTTTAAAAAAGTGATGGTGCAAAATTATGAACTCATTTCTATATTGTTCAACAAAATGTTGTGTTGTATCTTAATTTGAATTTATTAATACTTTGTTTTGTAATAATAAATTGTTTGCCGCAATTTTGAATAACCTCAAACATTCAATTTAGTATACTTTTTAAATGTTTTCTAAGATCAGTAAGAAATATGTTCTTCCAAACATAAAACATTGCCTTTTTCAATTCATCAACATATTGCTAAGATGCCCCATACGCCCTAGTCAAGTAGTCCTTAGCCCCACTAAAGATAAATGCGTTTATGCACTTTAGTTAGTGCTGGAGATAAGTGGTTTTTTTTGCATATCTGAGAATGCCTGACTTGTTTATTGCATAATTCACTCTGCATCTTAAAGACTTCAATATTAAATCAGCACCAATTTGACTCACTGAGGCTGTATAGTTACTAGCGGTATGCACAATAGTTGGCATGCTGTTAGGATTAGTTGGCATGCTGTTAGGATTAGTCTTCTACCACTTCGATGCTTTGTATAATAATTAGTTGAATCATTTACAAAATTATTGAACAAACGTGGTGAGTGCCTCAGCTTGCAAGCAATTGTCCTGTTTGATAAATGACCTGTAGGCTTCAATCTTGTCTTTTTCTTCATTGGAGAGTGTAATCACTTTTGGCATTTGTTAAAATATATTTAATTGACTAAACTTAATTTAAAAATGGAGTTTTTGGCTATTCATTTTATAGCTTTTTGTGTAATTTAGATAACAAGGTTATAATTATGCGCCATGGTTTTAAACAACTTTATAATTTGAATTAATTAAAGTATAAATAGATTCAATCGAAGTATCTTGTTTATTTTTAAAAAATTATCTACAAATCGAGATTAATCAACAATCTTAGCAAGCTGTTACAAAGCTTCTATATAAATGAGGCTATAAATCTGCACCACACTGTATTTACAAAGCAAAAAGTGTTTTTTTAGATTTTTTTGAAGCTTAATTTTTTTTTTTGCTTATTTATTTCTTCTTCTTCTTATTTTTTGTACATACATGGGCTGATTTAAATAAGTAGAACATTCCAGATTGCGCATTCTTATGCACAAGCAATTTTAATGCTGAAATAATAATTAAAAATTGTTAATGCATTAAAACGCTACTCACAATGAATAATGACAAATTCATAAAAAAATGACCCAATGGTAAAATACCAAAGCTCAAAATGAAAAATGACAGGATAAATTTTACCAAAGCAAAATCTAGTGAAAAATTATGATTACATTCGGAAATGACATTTTCGCAAGGAAAAATACCATGATTGATTTTATGACTATTTTTACTATTATTATTGTTATTATTATTATTATTATTAGTAGCAGTAGCAATAGTAGTAGTAGAGTAGTAGTAGTAGTAGTAGTAGTAGTAGTAGTAGTAGTAGTAGTAGTAGTAGTAGTAGTAGTAGAGGTAGCAGTAGTAGTAAAAGTAGCAGCAGCAGCAGCAGCAGCAGCAGTAGTAGTAGTAGAGGTAGCAGTAGTAGTAGTAAAAGTAGCAGCAGCAGCAGCAGCAGCAGCAGCAGTAGTAGTAGTAGTAGTTGTAATAGCACAAAAAATAACAACAGTAAAAACAACAAAGCACAAAAAATTTATGGATTCACTTTTAGGAACAGAATATCATAAGGAAATAATAGATTTTTTTTGTTATTTATTTATTTTAAATTTTATTATTAGTAACTACGCATAAAATTTTTGTATTGAATATTAAACAAAAATTAATCTCTTTTTCTTGTATTATGAAATACATCACATTGGCTTTAAAAAATACAAATCCTTCCAACAAAACAGTCTTTAGCTTAATTTTACATACTTAAAATAAATATATGGTTTTAATGAAAACATAAAACCATAAATCAAATCAAATATTATTTAAAAAATATTTAAGACAAAGATTTTTGTTTTGTTTTAGGAGGGGACCTCTAGCTCTTTTTGTGGAAGAAAGCAACCAACTTCTACTATATAGTCATAAAAAGCCATTAACCATGCTAGTTACTTATTTAGTATTTCAGTCCTCAGAATTAGAAAAAATAATAAATTGCTGACCTTAAATTATTTTTGGTTGGCATCAGGTTGGCACAAAATTTTCAACACAAAGATTTCACCATAACAAAATAAGAATGAGATTAACAAAAAAAAGCTGCCCTTAGATGCCTACACTAATTCCAAGGGCTGGTACTGTAATTTATTTCTAATGCAATTATATATATATATATATATATATATATATATATATATATATATATATATATATATATATATATATATATATATATACATATATATATATTAAAATACTTATTATAGAATAAAAATATAAAAAGAATAAAAAAAAGAAATAAAATTACAAAAGCTGTTTGAGCATCTTCTAAATCAAATGCAGAATTTAAAGGCGCCATAAAACATGCAGGTAAAATGCTGTCATAGAGAAACTCTTTTATAGTATCTTCATTACCTAAAAAAATGATGAAAAATTTAAGTTGATGAACAAACTTTTAAAATTTTCATAAGAAATTAGATAAAAATATTCATACCCCAGCTTTCCACTAGTTTACAAAGAATTATGAAGCATGTTTTTTGACTCTAAAAATATATATATACTAATATATTTAATTAAATTTTATAAAAATTTTCAAAAAAACTTACCAAATATCATCATGAATATAAAAAATTATACAATAAAAAAATTTAAAATGAGGTGAATCAACAATGCAAAATGATGAACCCGCCAATAAACTTGATGTGCTCGCATCCATCAATACACCAGTATTTATTTATCATTCATCAAGACGTCAATATTCATAACACTCTTCATAAGTAATACTTCAATATCAACTAATTATGTTAATTTAATTAATTATGTTAATTTGGGAAAATTTTATGATGATGATAAAACATTTGTTAAAAATACCTGGGGATCTGGTAACTAAAAAATACCTGTGGATCTGGTATTTCAACAGCACCATGAACAATTGAAAGTAATATTTCCTTAACATTACTTGATTCTATAAAAGCATAAAAATAAAATTTAAACAAGATTCTAATAAGCTTTTAATTCTAAAGTTTATAAATAAAAACCAATAAACTACACTTATAAAGTTTAAAATAAATATAATATAATATACAATGATTAGATATTTAGAGACACAAAAGCCATTAAACAAACATTTAGTGGTTTAAAGACCGCTTCATAAACAAGAAGTTTTGAGTTTGATTCCCACTACGCCACTGGTAGTACCGCGCTCAATTTGTTTCTCCACCCTAATGCCTTCTTGATCAAGGTTTATGTTTCTGAGTATTATAGTGGATGGAAGTGAAATATGAAGGTTGACAATATACATCTTTGGAAATGACTGAGATGATAATCAAATAAGGTGATAAACTTGGGGACAATTTAATCAGATATAGTGACTTAAGGACAAGTTAAACTTGGGGACAGGTTAGGAATGGCAAGTTTATCTAATAAGATTTCAATAAATAATATGGTTAGGCCATTTAGAGATGGTATGATTATAGAAAAAAGACATTTTCAAGACAAAACTTACAAACAAATAAATTTACCCTGATTAGTAATAACTTCTAGTATATTTGAATTAACAATTGTTGAAATGAACAGAAAGTAACTTCTCTGCAGCAACTGTTTTTCCTTTATTGCCTAAGATGTTATGATAGATTTAAAAAATGAAAGAAAAAACTAACAAATTGAAGTTTAACTTACTTTCATAAATTTAATAAATTAACCAATCAAAGTTTGAGTTATTTTCATAAATATTTTAATCATGATTAATAAAAGCTTTATTATACATTTTTAGTATGCAGTTTATTTTATTTACAAAATCTTATTTTGAAAAAAACCAAACAAAAAAAAAAAAAAAAAAAAAAAAAAAAAAAAAAAAAAAAAAAAAAAACTACCTACCTGTAAATCATTAGGTTCTATAGCAACTCTAATAAATGCAAAAATCTGTGAAACTAAAGGCATGCATATTTCACTCAAAAATGGAGCAATGTTACTCTAGAACAAAAAATATAATTAACAAAATAATTCTGAAAAAAGAAAAGTGAGATGCTGGAAGAAGATCAAAATGATAAGTGAGATGCTGGGAGGGGATCAAAATTTTTGATAAGCTGAATTTAATTAAGCTGACAAAATTGTTTCTAAATTCTATTTCAACTTAATTAATAAATATTCTGTAAATAAAAATCTCTTTTTATACCATTCTTTGAAATGAGCATTATATATATATATATATATATATATATATATATATATATATATATATATATATATATATATATATATATATATATATATATATATATATATATATATATATATATATATATATATATATATATATATATATAGTGAAAGATAAAAAATGGTCTACAGAAGATTTCTATTAAGAGATTGTTAAAAAAAAAAATTATAACAGATCTAAGCCTTGTTATTAAAACTTGTCATTTCACAATTAAAATTACTATAAAGTTATAAAAAATCTTTTTTGTTGATTACAGAAATACAAAAAATACAAAGAAAAACCTTAAACCGAGTAATAAGCTGGTTAATCAATGGAATGAATTCTTGAATATCACGCATCTGCAATAATAATTTCAATAAATCAGTTTTATTTTAAAATTTATATATATATATATAAAATATATAAATATAATATATATATATATATATATATATATATATATATATATATATATATATATATATATATATATATATATATATAAATAACCTTTGCTCAAATTTTTTTTAATTTTATTTCAAATATCCCAAAAAATAACTTCTATTACACTATATCTGTCGTTAATAAAATATAGCAAAAACATTTGCTAAAAAATATAATAATTTTTCTTGTAAAAAACGAAAAATAATTTTTAATTCAAATTTAATAGCTCACAAAACTAAAGATTGACAGGACTGCACAAGATTCATTACGAAACAGACCTGGCAATCTTTAGTTTACTGAGCTATTAAATTTAAATTAAAAAGATAATTTTTTTTTTTAGTACCAAAAAAAAAATATTTTTAAGCAAATGATTTTGCCATATTTTATTTTATACTTTTTAGTTTTTATAATGAGTTACAGTATTAAACAACGCGTAATTATTGTTATTGTTATGCTGCTAATATTAAACATTGTTAATATTAAACAGCGGTTCAGATAACTAGAAACAAGATGAAGAGTTGTGAAGAGTTATGATATTGAAGAGATAAAGAATGAGATGAGAGATAAAGTGTTATGAGAGAGATGAAGAGTTATGAGAGAGATGAAGTGTTATGAGAGAGATGAAGTGTTATGAGAGATAAAGTGTTATGAGAGAGATAAAGAGTTATGAGAGAGATGAAGAGTTGTGCTTAAGTTACTTAATTACCTCTATAGAGAAAAGTAAAAATAAAAAAAATAAGAAAACTAATGAAAAAATATTTTTTTTTTTAAATAAAAAAACCTGCAAGCAGATTTTGAAAATAAAAAGATTTATTGAAAAAAGATTTATTGAAAAAAGATTTTTTATAAAAACAAACTTGCAAGCAATCAATTAAATCAATCTAATTTTGAGAAAAAAGGTTTTAACAACCAAATTGGACAAGAAGAAACAAGATGAAAAGTTCTGATTAAGCACAAGAAAATAATAAAAATAAAAAAACTAAATAAAATTGTTGGAATTATAACAAAACAATGAATTTGTAAAAATCAACTTAAATGAGGAAATTTAAATTAAAAAAAAAAAAGGTAAAACAGATTATGGTTTCTAATTTTTTACTCATTACAACTTATTAAAAATTCAATCAATTTTTTAGTATCATTTTTTTACTTGGTCGCAACCTTTTACATCAATAACCACTTGAAATCTGTGACACATGCTTTAAACTTGGTCGCAACCTTTTACATCAATAACCACTTGGAATCTGTGATACAAGCTTAAACTACTTTGATACAGGTGAATGTGTCAGCCACTAAAAGAAAGGTATTCTAGTTTGTATATATCTTTTTTGTTTTCTTGCTGTATGCTTTAGGCAATTGTCTTGCTGAAATATATAGTTTCCATTCAGAAAAAAATGTATTACACTTGGTTTTAATTAGTGAACTAAAATATAATGGTACTTATGTTGCTCCACGATTCATCAAATCTATACAAGTTTACCACTCCATGAGCAGCAAATGCTGTGAGCATTGCATTTAGCAATGAAAATGCTAAATAAGGTGATTTTTGCACTATTTTAGTCTCTCAACACGATTTTTCTCATTTATAAAAGGCTCTTTTAATTGCCACCCTAAATTAAACTTCTTGCCTTTATTCTTGCAACAATTGTATTGTTATATGAGTGTTCAAGGTTTAAATGTTATATTATCTGACTCAATGATATGCTAAAATTTTAGGATATCATTGAGTCAGATAATATAATATATCACCACTTCTCTCACAATCTCTTTCTGTAGTTTTTTGCTTTCTTCCAGACCCTGACTTCCTGCTAACTAAATTTTAAAACTAAAATGTAGAAACAATTCTTTAAACTGTAGATCCAAATCCATCTTTTTTGGAAATTTAATGCAAATTTAATGCAGATTAATCTGTGTTGTGTATTTGAATTACCTTTATATATATATATATATATATATATATATATATATATATATATATATATATATATATATATATATATATATATATATATATATATATATATATATATATATATGTGTGTATATATATATATATATATATATATATATATATATATATATATATATATGTGTATATATATATATATATATATATATATATATATATATATATATATATATATATATACACACACACAAACAAATTAAAAAAAAATACCTCACAATCTTTTAAAAGACTGTTTACAGCAATTGGTATAAATGGCAAAACTTGATCACCAAGACATATAATCATACGATGAAGATATTGTCGACATGCATCATGAATCAAATCACGATGAACTCGCATAGATAAAGAATGTAGAAAAATACTTAAAGCCTAAAAAACAAAAAATAACTGCTGCATCTGTTAGGATACATCTTAAAATTAAAATTAGATTAAAATTAAATTAGATAATTAAAATTTGTATCTCTGAGAAACCAACAGATGTAGTTTTTTTAAAACTTTTAGTAATTAAAATCTCATTAAGATATTTAAGTTTACGTAGGTGTTGGCTAATAAACTGCAATTTTTTTTTTTTTTATTTTTTAATAAAATAGCTTAGCTATATAGATTCTAAATAGACACATTAAGAAACTGTCTAAACAATTAAAAAATAAAAAATAATATTTGGCAAGTTATTATTAGATAATTTAAATCTATATCATCTTTTTTACATTACCAATATTTTGTTACTTCTCACTTTAAAATACAATTTAATTCATAACAGAAAAATAGTGTTTATTTTTTGGCTGAACAATCTTTATATTTATGCTCCACTCTTAATTAATTTAATCTTAATTTTCAATTAAACCTAATTTATGCTCCACTTAATGCCTTCATTAAGTTTTTAAACTCAACTTTACATATCCATTTGAGTGGCAAATAATTTAGCCATATATACTTGGAAAAGTTTACACTATAGCTAAACTAAAAGTGCTTGATATAATAACAGCTAAACTGAATGTATTCAGAAAAGAACAATGTATGTATGTTTACTTAATTCTTTGGTTTCTTTAGGTAATTAAAATTGATAAAATCAATGACATGATTTTTACAAATTTTGTAGAGATCTTATATCAAAAATAAGAAAAAACAATATGAGATCAAAAAAAATTATTGAAATTTTAGTTTAAAATAAAAATGTGTTTTAAGCTGATTGATTTAATTCTAGATTATTGTAAATACTTATTCTTTATAATATATTTACATATAATAGGTATATAAATATTACTTATACTACAATTATTTATCTTAAAAATAATCAAAAGGTTGTTAAATGTGTTTTAACTAGTTCCTATGGCAACAATTTTAATTATTTATAACTGCATATAAATAAATATATACCTTTGTAAAACATGGGGTACATCCACTTTGTTTCATACTTTGTGCTGTCCCAAAAGCCTTACTCGCACGACTAAAAAAATAATAATATGTCTATACATATCTGTCTGCTAAAAAACATTTAATTTTTACAATACTAAAATTCATAAAATTTCATAAATAAAAATGGTTAAAATCCTTTGTAAAAATAAAACCTCAGGTTTTTATTTTTATATATCTTTATATTTTATTTTAATATACTTAACAATGAAAGTATCAATATTCCCTCTAAATAATGTATAAAAATAAATATTTCAAACCAATTGAGTTAAAAAAATCATATCTTTTGCGGGTTTCTCATAAATACCTCAATATTGTATTTATTTATAAAGGAAATAATGATAACAATAATAATAATAATAATAATAATAATAATAAAAGAGAAGTTTATTCATATATATATATATATATATATATATATATATATATATATATATATATATATATATATATATATATATATATATATATATATATATATATATATATATATATATATCATAGTTAATCTGTTGCTTTTCATACAATTTGAGATTATTTTTACTTAGTTAGATTGAAGTTTTAAGTGATTTAGTTTAATTCAAAGCTTAATTGTGAACTTAAAGATAATCAGTGATTATCATTATATAAAAAATTTTATGTTTATTTTTAAAATATTTATGCAAAGTTAAATCAGATAACTTATACAGAATGCACAATATTCTCAGCAAAATATTGAACAAATTGTAAAGATTTCTTATTTATTAAAGGCGAGTGAGAATAAAAAACTGATACTGGAAGAAAGTTTGGTTCAAGGAGACCACCTAACCATAAAACAGACCGCAAAGAAGATCGTATCATCCAGAATAACTGCTTGGGGAACAAAAAAGCCACTAAAAGTATTGACTAAACTTATCCACAAGCTGGTATTGTTGTGACAGACCAACCATTTGCAGAAGACTGAAAGAAGAGGAATTGATGTGTCACTGTCAAGACAAGACTCCAAAAATAACTCTTACCATAAAGAAAAAAGATTATAATGTGCTCAAAATTACCATCATTGGTCTGTTAAGGAATCCTAGACACTTTAAAAATTATTCTAGATTTTCCAGACAAGTCAACTTTTTAAGTACTGATGGACAAAACAGCTTCACTTTGTCATAGACCAAACAAATAGTATTGATGGACAAAACAGCTTTTATCTGTTGTAGAACAAACAAAATCTTATGGAAAAGCTTAAGATTTTGCTACCAGAGTTAACAGAAACTATAAAAAAAATCAACTGCAAGTATGCCACTGGAACTAGGTCATTTAACTCACCTGACTTAAGATATAAGTGACAGATGATATGTAATAGAGCTCATATGGAATATTGCCATCATGCTTTTGTTACAGTTGATGTCAAGTAATAAACTGGAGTTGGATGTTGGTGGTAAAGATATAACTAGGAGGTGTATGAAGAGCAATGAGGCAAGAGTTATTGCTCTTGACATATCAACATCTTTTGATATAGTCTAGCATTATGGCCTTCTCCATAAGCTTAGTTAGAGAAAGCTTTGAATATTATTGAATCATTCCTTTCTAAACACAGTATTTAAGCTATCTTTGATAATTGATATTTTCCATTATTTTCAGTAACTTTTTGGGTCACAATGTTACATCTCTTTCACTCCAGAAGGCTACATCATTTTCACCTTAGAAAGTTATCCTTTTCATCAAAAAGTTACGCCTTGTGACCCCAGAAGGTTACATCACAAGATTTCATCTTTGATCTTATGCTTTTTCTCATCTATATAAATAATCTTCCTGGTAATATTTCCTCTAAAGTGACTCTCTTTCCTTTTGACACAACTATAAACTTTAGCCAACCAAACTCAGTTTTTTACTTATGAAAATCAATATTAATTTTATTAATGCAATGTTGCTAATACTCCAATATTGATAATAGAAAACTTCTTGAGTTCTCTACATTTTTTTTTTAATTATTATTTTTTTATTATTCTTCTTTGCTTTCTGTTAATTCCCAACTTTTATTGTGGTTTCTTGCACCCTTGTTTGAAGTGAATTCATATTAAAAGAACAAAATTAAAACTTAAGAGTTTATGGTTTCACACTTGGACGGATTTCACACAAACACACTCACACACATATAGGGAAAATTTCAACTAAAGATAAAATATTTAGAGGATTTATCAATATTTATGCAGCCAAACCTCAGCCTCGGTCAAATATCAAAAATTGTTAGAAAATTTAACTTTTTATTATTGTTCACAAGAATTCCATTGCTACATAGAATAACTTTTTTAATTACCTAAAAGTTTGCAAAACTATACAGTGAATATACAGTGATATAATATATAACCCTGATTTTACCCATAACATGTAAGGTCCAAATTATGTCACATTATGCACATTTTTAAAAAAGTTATGTGCATTAGCTAGATTTGTAGAACAAACCTGGAAACGCATTCACTATTTTGAACCAATATGGATGAGTATAAAAGAGTTTTTTGGACGAGTCATAAAAAAATTCGTTTGAGATTTTGTTCTCATCAAGACTTGAAAAAATATTAACTTTGTAAATATTGTGTAGTTATTTAGTTAAATAAAGATTTAACTCTGTTTAAACAATAAGTTTTACAGAAGTTGTTCTAACATTTAACTCTTACTAGTTAATCAGCATAAGGCCAACAACAAACTATCAGATCAGACCTAATTACAATACTTAACTATAACTATGTAGTCAATTCAAATTCATTATTGTAATCGAAATTCAAAATTTTTTCATCATTGTTATAAAATTTTTAGAAATATTTGATGAAAAGTTGTTGCAAAAAAAAAAATTGTTGAAAATATAAATTATAAAACCTTAGGTATGCTATCATATGATGTAATGCAAGAGCCTTTTCTTGAATTTCTTCATCATCTTTGATTAACCCACATGAGATCTGATAAAAAAAAATCATTAAGTAAACTTTTTTGATATTTAAAACCAAAAAAAAAAAAAATTAAAAAATTTATTATAGTTCATAAAAAAAACTTTAGATACTTTATTTAAATTTTTGAAATAACAAGAGCTGAGACAACAAATTTGAAAGAAATGAGAATACAAGGGCAGTTATTATAATTATAAACAACTTTCTGTTAAAAAATTTATTAAAAGTTAGTATAAAAATTTTCAATAAAATATTTTTATTTTCAATCTATATTTTTTTAATAAAATATTTTTCATTTTAATTTTTGTGATTGAAAAAATCAAACTTAAATTTAATAAATTTTAATTAAGTTTTAATTAAATTAATAATTTTAATTCTATGACTTTTTCAACTTTTTTATTTTAACTTTTTTTTTAATTGTTATTACTTTTAATGCTCAACTTCAGAATATTATTCAGAATATTTTTTTAAAACGCAATATTTTGTTCGAAATAAAATTAGTATGAAAAAAATTCCTTTTCTTTATATCTATAATGAAAAAGTGGTTTACCACGAAGATTAAACAAAAATAAATAAATAATCATTAAAAAACACTATTGCTTTTTTAATGATTATTAATGTGTTACTAATAAATAAATAAATTTTGAAAAGGTTATTGCAACACATTTGAAAAAAAAAAATTGTGCTTACCGTATAAATGACTAAAAAAGTTTGTTTGAAGAATGTTTCTTACTTAATATCCTGAAAGACAGCAAAAAATGCACAGATGTTTTATTTAGGGGTTGTCTTGGTTCCATTAATTTAATAAAAGGTTTTTACATAGTTAAAAAGCATTGTATAAAAGAATTTTTTTTTTTTTTTAACACAAACTTTTTTTTATAATGTTCTTTACCTGTGCAATCTATTAATTATTTGTAAATTATTTGTATTAAAAATATAGAAATTAAAAACTACAATAAACTATGTAAATTATAATTTAGTAATTTAGGTGTTTGATGCTTATTATGTTTTAACAAATTAGGTGTTTGATGCTTACTATGTTTTAACAGAGTTTTTTTTTTCTTTTTCAAATGTAAAAAGTTTTTGCTTTTTGCCACAATGTTAATAGTTTTTATCATATTTTCTTACTTTATATTTTAACATTTTTATCAATTTGTTATCATTCAGACTTGAATTCACTTATGCAGCAAAAAAAAAAAAAGCACAACAAAAACAAAAATGCTAAAAACATATAAACTGGTAAAGAAATCATAAACTTTCTTATAATGAAAATGAAATTGAGCAATACACAACTAATTTTCAAATAAATATATGAACAAAATAATTAACAAATACAAATTAAATATTGAACTTAACATATGATTGCATATGAATAATAAGAATATATATTAATCAACTTTGAAAATAAAATTTGAAAAAAAAAAAAAAAAAAAAAAAAAAAAAAAAAAAAAAAAAAAAAAAAAAACAACTAAAAACTTTGCAATTAATATTCCCTAAAAAACAAATTAAATAATTTTCTTTCAGTTCTGTATAATAGTGTAAAAAGTGCAACTATAATGTAAAAATAATGTAAAAAATGCAAACCTGTTCAATATATTGTTGAAACAAAAGAACTACTGGCGAAGTCAAGGATTCCATCATTATTAATTGTTTCTAGAAATCAGTTTAATAGCATACAAAAAGCTTATAAATTAAACAAAATATAGTATTGTGTAAAATAAGGCATTACATAAAATAAGGTATTATGTAAAATAATATATTATGCAGATTAGATTTAAACATTGTTAACATTTATGTTTAATTTTGTTATACATAAACAACTTGGTCACTAACTTTTTTGTAACATAAAGTTCTTCATAAACAGTCAACAATAGATAATCAATAAAATATTTTAGCTCATAATTGCAAAAACATTTAACGTCTAACTTACTTCTTGATTTGCATTGCTGCATGTTACAAGAATTGCTGCAACTTCATATAAATAGTACTAAAAGTGTATAAATACTGATACAATACAGTAATGATCAAGCTTATGACATTTTTAAAAAACAAAAAAATTATATTTTAATGTCATAAATCACAATCCCAAGTCATACTTTTAAAAAATACAATGAAAAAAAATTTCAACCAAATCCAAACATTTGGTTTACCTTATCATTTTCTGAAATACCAACAATTTTCTAAATAAAAAAACAGTTTTATAAACCAATATTACTAAATCATAAACAAATAGCATTAAGTAAATAAAGATAATGTTAAAATAAATAGAATTAAAAAAAAGTACAAACATAAACAAATATAATAATGAGTCAACAACAAACACTGTAAAAAATATGGAAATAATTTTATAATAGTGTGTATCCTTTCATTATGCATGGAACTAATTCACTAATTGATGTCTGTAACCATGGTCCGTGTACCATGTAACTATAGGGTCAGTAACAACTTTAATAATATACTTATATTCTTCGATAACTTTAAGGGTGTGATAATCTTTTTTAACCTTTGTTCAATACTTTTAATTTCAAATTATTTTTGTAAATATTATCACAAATTAATATACTGATTACAATGTGAGCTTGAAAAAACAATTTCAAGATTTTTATTATTTATAAAAAAAAAAAAAAAAAAAACCCAGAGTGAACTAAACTAAACTTGTTTCAGCCAAAATTTAAAACAAATCTGAAACATGAAGCATCTAATGTAAATTTCATTTACTTATTATCTTATGTTTAAATTTTAGAGGTTGGTGTTATACATTTATTTTTGTTACCTTATTTTTATATTTGTAGTATTTGCTATTATGTTTATCTACTAAGTTTTATATTTGATTATGTTATATGCTACAAATATAAAAGTTAATAATAATAATATAGCTTAAGTAAAAATAGTTTCATTCAAAATAATTTTTTAATTTTTTTTCAATAATAACTCCTAAAATTTTTTATTTCTTTACAAAGTTTTCTACTGAATGTGTGTATATATAGATATTTTTGTGCTATAAAAAGACACTTGCACTTACAAGACACTTGCAGATGACACACACACGCATACACACGCTTGACTTAGAAGACACGTCAACTACAAGATACTTCAAGACAAGACACTTGCGGATAGTGCTTACTTAACCATGTTTCTATCATTGAATGAATTAGTTGATTAAAATCATGCAGACATTTGCAACATTTGAGATGTTGCACATCAAGTACTATGATGAGAAATACATCATCTGAGTCATTTGGCAATGTTTTGCGTTTTAAAAAGTAAGTTGTTACTGAATGTATGTAATCTTATGGATAGTGTACTTCAGACTAGTGCAATCAATCTTATTGTTTGTACAAAGTTGTTAGTTAATTTATTAAAAAAATAACAAATAATTAAAAGACAAAACATGGAAAGTATTTAAAAAGTACTTGGAAATTATTTTAAAAGAACTTGCAAAGCATCAAAGTACCACCAAAGGATTTGAAAATAGTTTTGTATAGAGTTTGCAATATATTTGTAAAGTGAAATACAAAGAATTGTTTAAAATATTTAAAATGTGTTACATGTTAAAAAAAAAATGGCCAAAAATTTTTAGAAAAATGTAAAAAAAAAAGAACATAAAAATCTTGAAAACAATAAATTTCATATTTTTAGAGCAGGCCACAAAAGTTGAACTTTTTTCACTTTAACTAACTTTAGTTTTATATTAATTAGTTTTATCTTGTTAAATAAGATATTCACACTATAAAAAAGTTTTGAGCATAAAGAATAAAAAAATGTTGCAAGACCTCATTTTGCGCTCCTAAAATTTCTTGAATTCTTCTGAACACATCTTCAACATAAGGTTGCATTTGATTTCTAGAATAAATATGTGCTACTATATAAACAAAAACTATAACAATAAGGTAATATAAACTATATTAACCATTAATAACAAAATAACAAAAGTAATAACAAAAAAAAAACAAGAATATAAATTACTTTAGTGATTTAATAAATCTCATTAACAAGAAGCTTGCACGACTTGAAACAGCACAATCTAAATTTTTTAGTCCACGCTCATCCAAAAAAGCAATCTAAAATAGATTTTACCCTTAAAAAAATACTAATGTGAATTTAGTTTGATAGTAAATATTCTTTATATGTAGATACTGCTCAAACCCTCAGTGCATTATGCATTAAAACCCCCACAGATGGCTGTGTCAATATAATATCATCAAGGTTTTAAGAGAAGCTAAAATCGTGTTTTTATATATTATGATGTGTGTGTATATATATATATATATATATATATATATATATATATATATATATATATATATATATATATATATATATATATATATATATATATATATATATATATATATATATAATGTAAATGACATCATCATAGTGTTTTTTACATTAGCATTACTTTAGCATGATGGTAGTCTGATCTATTCAGATCAAAATGTAACAAATAAAATATATTTAAAAAAACAGGTCCATGGTTCCTATTTATATTTTACAACATAACATAATTTAGATACAACAAGAAAATTCACTAAAAAAATTATTCTTATAAGTACATTAATATGAATAAAGTATCAAATTTTTTAAACAACTTTTTTAGATAAAATAATGATTATAAAACTTAATTAACTTAGTTTCCTACAACATAAAAGGTAAACAATTTTTTTACTGCATGTTTTTGTACAGTATGTTAAAAAACAAACAGAAAACTTTGAGTATTTATATAATATTTTTACTTTTTAAATGTAAATATATAAATTGTTTTTAAATTTAAATTTACAGAGTAAATGAAAACTATGAGAAAACTTTTAGTACAGCTCTAATAAAAGTGTTAAATCAAATTAAATGATAAAAAATCATACTTACTAATACTGTTGGAATATACTGTGTTTGAGCATAAAAAAATCTCTCATAGCGAGTGACTGTCTCAAAGAACTATAAAAAATACAAACAAAAAAAAACATTTAATGAAAAGATATTTTATGTAATAAAGGTGTTATATATGTATATATTATGTAATAAATGCAGTATATTTTTAAAAGTATATTTTATATACGTTTTAAAAATATAAAATATACAAATATAAAATATACAAAAATATAAAAAACACAAAAGTGACTGAAATCGACTGATAATTGATTAAAAACTCTAATTTTTTTTATTATAAGAAATCCCAGTAATATTTTTATAAAAAATTTTGAAACTTATCAAAATATTCTGAAGATAACAGCAAATTTTAAAAAATGTATGCATGTGTATAATATATATATATATATATATATATATATATATATATATATATATATATATATATATATATATATATATATATATATATATATATATATATAATATATATATATATATATATATATATATATATATATATATATATATATATATATATATATATATATATGTATATATTTATATTTATATTTATATATATATATATATATATATATATATATATATATATATATATATATATATATATATATATATATATATATATATATATATATATATATATATATATATATATATGATTGCTTGTATTTATAATTAGCCCAAATATAATAAAAGTAATAAAAATATTAGTAAAGGAAGAAAAAAAAAAAAATTAGTTTAAAAATTTTGAAAATGAAAAAAATATATATCTTTTAAATAAAAAAATTTACCTGAAGTTTTATAGCGCTGTGTTTGTGCTCATTGATGTTGCTGTCAATCAACTATAAAGAATGTAAAAAATTAGCAAATAATATGAGTGACTAATAATTATATATTTCTATTTTTCTTATTTATAAACATATTGTTAAGTAAAATTATTGCTTTTATAAAAAAAAAATTTTTATAAAATGGATTTTTTTTTTATAAAATGAACTTCAACTTATTTTTGAAAAGTATTGGAAACTTGAAGGTACTGAGTCCCATAACTTAATTATAGAATAACTTTCTAGAAGATAAATTACTTTAAATTAATTTTTTTTTTTAATATTTCAAAAACACATTAAAAATTAATTATTATTTTAATCATTATAAATTATAAAACAAAATAAAAAATTTAAAGAAAAACTAGAAAAGAAAATGTTACCAAACACATCATGTTCTGGAACAGAGAAAAATATAATGTATCAGTGAACAACTCCTGAGCCTGTGTTAGATTTGAAAAAAAAAGTTATTAATACATTGTAATAGTATATTATTATAATATAATATTTACTTTAATATAATATCTTAATAATATCTCTGTCACATCGTCGTAATGTTGCTTCTCTTTCTCTTTTCTACAAATACTATAATGGGCACTGCTCTAAAAAGCTAGCGTCTCTTGTGCCATCTACTAAAATTCATTCTTGTGTTACTCGTCATTTAATTAAGTCTCATCCTTTTTCTGTTACTGTTCCTTAGTGCTCCAAAAACTCTTATTTGTCTAGTTTTTTTCCTCAAACATCAGTTCTTTTCGCTTCCTTCATCTTGCTTTCCTGATTCATATAATTTGCAATCTTTTAAGCGTCTGTCAATCGTTATCTTGCTCTACAATCTACAATCTCAAAATTAGTGGTTGCTTGCAGCCTTGTTGGAAGCGAAGATGTTAAAAAAAATAAAAAAGAAAAAAAAAGAAAAAAAAAAAAATTTCTAAAAAATTATAAAATATTTGAATATAATATACATTATATATATATATATATATATATATATATATATATATATATATATATATATATATATATATATATATATATATATATATATATATATATATATAATTAGATTAAAATTAATAATTAACAAGGAAACTTCTTTAATTTAACTATAATTATAAATATAATTATAGTTATATGTAATATAAATTTAGTTATATATAAAATAAACATAATTATAGATATATATAAATATAATTTGTTATAATTATTCTGTTATAATTAATCTAGAATTAAATATTACAAAATCAAAATGATTGATAAAACTTTTTAGTTATGTTTTAAGATGAGTCAAGTAATTGAAGTGTTATTAAAAACTTACAGGAAATGCTTCACCCAGACAATAAAGTATGTAAACAGCCACCTCTACATCTTTAAATGGCAGTTGTCGCCAATTCCTAAAACCATACTTAATTTTAAATTTGAACTTGATATTTTGTAAAAATAACAAAAAAATCCATAAAAATAATATTCAATAAAAACTTCTAAAAACTAAACACATCAAAAACAGCCTACTTGAAAGTACAGTCCGTAATTTCATATATGGATGAAATAAACAACTTGCCATCCTAGAATTACAGCATAATTGATTTAAAATTATTATAAAAGATAAATTAAAAAAAACTATTCAAACAAAAATATAAATACAAATAATTTAAAGACACATATACAAACCAATTTAGCAAGATAATTAAAAAGAACTTTCATTTGTTTTCGGTATTCTAAAAAATCCACTTCATCGTCACCCTGAAAGTTAATGTAAAAAGAAATAACCAGAAAAGATGTAAATAAACATGAGTATAAAATTAAACAAAAGAAACTAATTTTTAAGGCAGAAATAGAATTGCAAATACTTGTAAAAAATGTTTTTATATCAAACAATAATTAGAGATTGCTAATTGACTTTAAAGCAATGTATTAAAAACATCTCAGAAGATCTTTTGTTTACAAACAGAACGGTTGGAAATTGCTTGCTTAAAGCCATGCACATAGTGATGTACAAGAGCTCAGCTATTTTTTATGTTTCTAGTAGAAACTGTGTTTTTATATCAAACTATATAAAATAAACTTGTTTAAAGTAAATAATATTTAAAGTTTTTATGACAACTCACTTCATTTTCAAAGTCAAAATCTTCATCAAATTTCAGTTTTTTTATCACTACCAAGATGATATCTTTGATACGTTTATTTGCGCATAAGCTGGTGCCATTAAGTTGCTTTAAAAGATTCAGGTAACCATGACAAAACTCAAAAACTGCTTCAGAAACATCATCATCATCATCACCAAGAAATCTTAATAATGGAAAAATTCAATTGAAAATAATGTCTTGATATCTGCATTTTATATTACGCTTTTTATTATATTTGATTTTTATTTAAATTTGTGAATATGTGTACTTGCCACATATATATAAATAGTGAAAATTTATTTATTTATATATGTTATTAAAGGACATTTAATAACATATATAAATTAGCAATATATATAGATATGATATTAAACTGTTATATAATATAAAAGTAATAATTTCATATAAATGTGCAATATTAAAAAATATTTATTTATAAAATGCAAATGTTATAAAAATTTGAATGTATGAATTACTTTCTCTTAAAAAACATGACTTTGACATTAGTTCTGCATGAATGTCAAAAGTACTAGCATCAACACAAAGTATGCACTAACTAACACAAAGTATAATCTCCTACTGGATGTAATAAAAAAAAATTTTTATTGCTTTTTTAAAAAGCATTTTTAATCATTCTATACTTGAAGTCATAAATTGAGGCAAAACGGTTGTAAAAATGGTTTTAACAGTTAAAAAAATAGTCTTCTATAAAATCTTATTCAAGCAAATCTTAGTTCTTATCTAGCTTTTTATCTTATTATTATTATTATTATCTTCAAGGTTAAATGGTGTAGGCTAAAAAAACAGCATTTTAAAAAAACATCTTTCAAAATATTTATTATGGTATTGTGCTACATAAAGTAGCACAATACCATAATAAATGTTTTATAAGGTTTGAATAAATAATACCATAATAACGGCAGAGAGGAAAAGCATTCAATATTGTACAGTGTAGTGAGATTTCAATCTCACAGTGTAGTGAGATTTCAATCTCACTACACTGTGAATCAGAATTCACTTTAACTGGATAAATATATATTTTTATGACTGGCTCGCGGACCTTTTTTATTGTATTAATTGATTTAATAATAGGATATCATAACATCTAATAGTTAAAAGTTGAAAAAAAAAAATTAAATAAAATACTCAAGATAGAGTTTATGAATATTCATGTAGCCTACTAACAAACTAAATTTAATCATGTCACAATATATAATTCATATGCATGTACCTAAATATATAGTTACTATGTATATATCTAAATACAGTATTTCTGAGTACAATTTTTTTGATAATAAAATTACTGTCTGATTTTCCTTGCAACATTATGTTAATTATCCAATACCTTTGCAAAACCATGGGAATAGAAACAAATGTTGTATAGAATTTCAGTTGAATTGAAAATAGCTTGAAAATATGAACATATAAGCTTCAAGATATATTATCACATATAAGATATAAAATCTACTACTTTTAGCATTTCATGAGCAAATAATGTACCTTAAAAATTTTAGTTCCATATTAAAAGTTACTAGTTTAAATTTATAAAATTGTGTTGTTTTATCATCTACTTTAGTTCAACAATTTGCGGATGAATAATAGTGAATTAACAAAACAGTTTTAAATATTTTTTTTATATCTAATATAATTTATTTATAACAATTTTTTACATTTTAATACGCGCAATATAAATCTTGTTGCTGCCCCAAACCGAACCCTCAGTCAATGTAGCAGCAAGTTCCTTCATGTTCTCTCTATATCAGATGAAATTAAAAAGTTAATGAAATATACAAAAAATTTGTTTTTTCAAAAAATGATTTTAAAATATCATTTCAAAATAACATTAAGAGTAAAGTTAACTTTGTTGGCAATTATGAGTTTTTGATAATAAATTAGCAAAAGTAAAAATATTAGTCTTAATAACAATATAGTAATTGCTCAAATTTAATTTTTGAATAAATGAACTTTTGATCTTTAGCATGCTATTGTATTTTACTTTAGGGAAACAAAAACTTTTTCAAAAAGTTTTTTTTTTTCCACATATTTTTTTCGACTTAATAATAATAAAAATAATGACTACAATAACTTCATAGTTTTATTAAAATTTAGTCATCTTTAAACTTCATTGTCTTTCATGATTCAAAAAATCCTCAAAAAATAATTAATCTAGAGTTTCAAAAAAAACAAAATAGGAAATTAAAATAAATTTATATAGAAAAAAATAAATAATAATAACTTGTGTATTGTTTTTATTTTATTTTCTTTAGGGCAGTTGTTATTTTCAGCAACAAAATTTGATAAGGCAAAGCAAAAAAAAACAAAAACTGTTTGACATTAAAAATTACTCTATATTTTATTTTTTAGGAGTTTTTTTTGTTTAAGAGGAAAGCGAAAATATGAATTGCTATCTGTTTGTAAAAAATATTTGAATAATTTTAATGTACCAAGTATATTGTCCTTATATGAATACTTCTATATGATGCATGCGTTTATGTTTATATATACACTCATATGTTGGCTTGTTAATGCATGCATATATATGTCTCTACCTTATAGGTTTTACTGTCTACATTACTTTTTCATTTATATAAATATATTAATTTGTTCACCGGTATATGCACGTTTAGCTTATTTGGATTATTAAAGGCATTTACTTTATATGCGGAATGTCCATGGTTTGAATCCCACCAATTTTTAATTGTTTTTCTTTTTACAAAGAAAATATATGCATCCAGCTCCTTATATATTTGCTTTGTAACCATTTATCTTTTTTATATACATTTGTATTTAAAAAATCTTTCTGTTCTATACTTTTGAACGATATGCATCTTTTCTGATTCAGATTTCTTATACCATTTAAGCCTCTCAGTGAATTTTTTAAGTAAGCCAAACACAAATATATACATAGTTTTCAAGCTTCAATTATCCCATGTTATCTTCATATTTTCCACATAATTTTTTTATGTTACCTTTCTATTCCTGTAATTTTTTTGGTTGATTAATTTTTTTCTTAATTAAGTTTAAAATTATAATTTTTTTATCAAACCATCCACAGCTTATTAGGAATAACTACTTAAGCAACATATCTTTATCATGACATATGCACAACAAATTTCGCCTGGAGTTTTGATGTTTTTAAAAATTAAGATATTTCAAAAATTCTCTCTATTTTGTTTGTTACAGTATATAATATCTTAATATATATATTATCTTTATAATATATACAGAACTTCAATAATGCTTAATTTTGTATTTTAAAAAATCTAAAAAGATTAAAAATAAAATTGTGGAAGCGTGAGGATTTGAACCATGATGCTTTGCATCATAAAACCTGTGAGCTAAATACTTTAGCCATTTAGGTGTATTGTACAACAAACATTTTAATAGTATTTAATAAACAAAGGACTTAAAACTGCAAATAAATTCTATAAATCAAAATTAAGGAGATACTGCTGAAATACAATTTTCTAGTAAAAGCTACACCGTAAAACTTAATATATATTTTAACATTACATGCTTTGAAGTTTACATAAGTTAGATATTTGCATACACTTTCGTTTAAAACATCCTTAAACTCACAATCCACAGGCTTTTTCTAATTTGCCTAAAGCATAAGTTTATTTCTCTCTAATTATCTATAATTTTCTATGTACACACAAATTTAAAAACAACCTTAACATTGGCAAAACATTTGTGTCTATTGCATCAAGAATTTCAATCTTCAAACCACTTTCTGATTCAATTTTTGATAACCTTGAAAATAAATTTTAAAAAATTTAAAAAATACATCTTATTTAATAACAAATATTTTATATATTATATATATATATATATATATATATATATATATATATATATATATATATATATATATATATATATATATATATATATATATATATATATATATATATATATATATATATATATATATATATATATATATATATATATATATATATATATATATATATATTATATATATATATATATTATATTTATATTATATATATATATATATATATATATATATATATATATATATATATATATATATAATATATATATATATATATATATATATATATGTATATATATATATATATATATATATATATATATATATATATATATATATATATATATATATATATATATATATATATATATATATATATATATATATATATATATAGGCTTGGTTGAGAAATGGATGCAAATGCACTCCATTCCTGACCACGCATACAATTTGGCCACAGCGTTTTAGATGCGTGGAGTACATAAAAGTTTATGTATGTTTCGATGTATGTCCAAAAAATTATGTTTCAACAAGCTATAAGACTTTGTAACATTAATCTTTTATAATCAGATATTAGAAAAATGCTTTTAAACAATGCGGAAATTTACTTTTTATTAATTAATTATAAAAAGAAAAACTTTAAACTTGTTTTCAAAATTAATAAAGTTGAGAAAGTTTTATTAAAAATTATATAAGGTTTAGTAAATTATACAAATTATTATTATTTATTGATTATTTTTTTTTATTTAAAAAGTTTTTATTTTTTATGTTAAATTTAAACCTTTTAAAACAATTTGTTGATTTGATAAAAAGAATGCAACAACAAATTTCATTAAAGTTAATTAAGTTAATAACCAAATAAACATAGGAGAACAAAGATACAAGAACCAAATAAATTTACAGAAAAAAAATTTATTTTATTAAATGTATACTTTGCCTGCAGTTTGGATACTGACAGGGCTGTTGCAAAGAGATTTTTAAGGAGGGGGGGGGGTAAAAAAGAACCTTGTTATAAAATAGTATTATACTCTTTATTAAGATTTTTATTTCATCATAAATAGTAAATTTTTACTTTATGTAAAAGACTTTAGCTAATTTTATTTAAAAAATTATAAAAAAATAAAATTTTGGGTTTTCCGGTGAAACTTCCCCACTCAATTTCAATTAATTTCTACTAATTATATTTGAGTAAAATTACTTTTTGAAGTTAATTTTTAAACTTTTGTAAGTTCAAATGCGTTTCTTTACTTACTGTGATATAGCACCACCTACTTTAAATGATTTTTCACCTACTGCAATTGAAAAAATGGAAAATTTTTATTAACATATATATTCTTTTAATCGTATAACTTTAATATTTTTACTAAATAAAGGAAATAATATTTAATCCCACAAAAAAAAATGTTCAATAGTTTTGTTTAAATCATGTTTTCAAATTCTTTTTTTAGTTGATTATTTTTGTTTTTTTTTAGATTTTACTTGTTTTTCTTTAATTCTTATTTTTCAGAAGCTTTATTTCTACATTCAATTTTTTAAATATCTTTTTCTTCTTTGCATTTTTTTAGCTATTAGCAACTCTAATCATTTGATTATGTTGAACAATTGGTATTTGTTCAACTTCATCCATTCAATTCATACAATCGTTGGACTTTTCATTTTTTTTATGACTGGTTGTTTTAACCATAAAAGAACATCGTGCAATGGATTTGCAACTTTTATTATTTAAATTTTTGAATGTAGTGGATCTGTTGCTGATTTCACTGGATTCATCAATTATTACTTTTCAGCTTACTAAAATTACAAAATTCATTTTCTTTTGATTGTTAATTCTAAATACAATGCTTTATTTATTTTGTCATTCGGTAGGTTGTTGGCTTCTACAAAAATACTGGTTTGTTTTGAGTTTTCATTAAATTTAAGATTTTTCCAAAAATTAAATCCTCTGAATTCAGTTTTACTCTCTATTCTTTATTTCAGGTTTTTTCAAACTCTTCCAATACTCCAGGTGCAACGGTAGTTTTAAATATACTCCCAACAATATTACTTCTTGAAAGATTTATTTCACTTTTATCAATCTTAGAATTCTATTTAATGGTTAATCAACATTGTTCGTATTAAATAAGAATATTCCTGTTAAACAAATATTATTAAATATTATGAAAACAAATTTTATTAACTCCGTTAATAATATTTGTTTTCATAATACTTATTATTATTTGTTTTTTCGTAATAATATTTGTTTCTTACTAAGTCCTCTTCTTAACTCTTGGATTATCATTTACTACTGACCTTTCATGAAAAACATATAAACAATCAATTGCTAAATTAGCATCTGCCAAGGTTGCTTCACTTTATTGTGCTTGTCATTTTCTCTATACTGATTTCATTCTCTACCTCTACTAATCTCTTATTCATCTCTGTATGGAATACTGTTGTCATATTTGGACCCTAAACTAGAACCTTGTTGAATACCACTAATTACAATGCGCAAGTCAGAGCAGTAGTCACCAATGACTACTCTCTGCTTCCTTCCCTTAATGAAAAAAGTACACCATTTAAGAAGATTGATAGCCTTTGATACCACAAGCTTTAAGTTTTGTGATAAGAGCGTCATGTGTTAGTAAATCAAAAGCTTTAGTGAGATCGAGGAATACTGTATCAACTGAGGCACTGAAGTTAAGAGATTCGGTTATGATGCCCAATGTTTCTAATAAGTTTGTCAGGCAAGATTTATTTATTTATTTATTTTTTTTTAACAACTTCGCTCCCAACAAGGCTGCAAGCAACCACTAATTAGTGTTGGAAGTTACTGGAAGAGAAAAGATGAAGATTGTAGAGCAAGATAACAAGTGACAGACAACTTAAAAGATTGCAAATTATATGAATCAGGAAAACAAGATGAAGGAAGCAAATTCCAAAGAACTGATGTTCAAGGAAAAAAACTAGACGAATAAGAGCTTTTAGAGCACTTAGGAACAGTAACAGAAAAAAGATGAGACTTAATTGAATGACGAGTAACACGAGAGTGAATTTTAGTAGATGGTACAAGAGACGCTAGCTCTTTAGAGCAGTGCCCATTATAGTATTTGTAGAAAAGAGAAAGATAAGCAACATTATGACGATGTGATAATGGTTGAAGGTTGGCTGCAAGAGCAGGTCCAACTATGTTTACAATGCGTTTTTACACCTTGTCTAAACAGGAAAGGCCATCATTAGAAGATCTGCCCCAGATATGGCAACAGTATTCCATACAAGGCCAAATTTAATATATGGTTTCTAAGAAAGATCAGAAGTAAGAGTTAATCCTAGAAGATGAAGGGTATACATTAACGTTCATAAATATAGGAAGATCTAAACTATTGCAATAAGGATTGGCTAAAAAAAATTGAGTTTTATCTGAATTAAAGTTCACCAGCCACTATGAGCTCCATGCTGTAGCAGGTGAGATCCTTTTCAAGCTCAAATGCCCCATCCAAGCAATCAGAGAGAGTTGGCTTCTTATCATGACAAGAATAAGTGTTTCTAACAAAACTGTGCTGTTGGTTGGAGAGTAATTTATTGTCACTGAGATGTTTTATGATAATATTTGGATAATTTTAATTTTGGATAATATTTTTGAATAGCTATTTGAGCAACGTTTTAATAAATATGGGTAGATCCGATCAGAACCAGCTTGTTTGTATTTATTTTGCAGTTCAAGTTCTATTTTAATAATTGAGCTTTTGAAAAAATCAGTGTTTAATGGACAGATAGATTTTGTTCTTTAAATTCAGGAAATTTTTTATTATTTTGGACCAAATTGAATACATTATATAAGTGAATGTTGAATTGATTGCAGATTTCTTGTCTATCAATTAAGGTAATGCCATCTTTTGTTATGAGGGATCGTATTTTTTGATGGTTAGTTTTAAATTCTACAAGTATCATTTCTAGTGGTTTTGGTTCTGTTTGAGTTAAATTTGTGATTGGGTTTCTTTTTATTCTTCTTTGACTTTTTACACCATTTCTAGTTAGGTCAAGAACTTCAAGAATTTTATCCACTTCAGTAGTGTCATGCGTATCACTGTCTTGTTCTTTTTCAGGGATCCCATTGATTATTACATTATTTTCAATACCCTTTTTTTTTTTTTTCTTTTGCTACTTTTGAAAACAGAAGTGCTTCGTTGACTGTATTTTTATTATCAAATAGCTTTGACTAATGGTTGATGGGTTTTTTAGGGATACTTTTTAGTTGGACAATTTTGTCTTTTGCGGTGGCTAATTCTGCCTCTACGGTAGACACTTTTATTACAAGTAAATCCTTAAATCATTCCTTAAAATTTGTTCCTTAAATCATTCCTTAAAATTTGCTCCTTAAATCATTCAGCCAAATGTCTAGATTTGCTGTATTGCATTTTATTGTGGGTTGCATAGCCCGGTAACGGGGGTTGCAGGACACACTCATTATAGAATTTTTTTTTTTTTTTTAATATACTTATAAACACACTGTTGAACAAAAGAGTTTATGTGTTTTTTTGTTATGTTGCAGCATGTTTATTGAACATTTAAATATAATTTATATGATATGTTGAAGCATGTTTATTGAACATTTTAAATATTTTATATTCATAAATTAATATAAAACTAGTTTTTTTTAGTTAAAAGTTCTTCAAGCTGCTTCTCTTTATCGTGCTCGCTATTTTTCTCTCCTGATTCCATTCTTGACCTCTATAAATCACTTATTCGTCCCTGTATGGAATACTGATGTCATTTGGGCTGGTTCTTCTAATGATGCTCTTTCTCTTCTAGACAAGGTCCAAAAATGCATTGTAAATGTAGTTGGACCCAGTCTGCTAAGCATGAGCCTAAATTTCATCCTCATAAAGTTGCATCTCTTTTTTTTTTTTTTTTACGAATACTATAATGGTTGCTGCTCAAAGCTACCATCTCTAATTCCATCAACTAAAACTCATTATCGCTTGATTTGTCATTCATCAGTCATTCTTTTACTGTATCAGTCCGTGTATGCTCCAAAAACTTTAATTTATTAAACTTTTTTCCCCACACTTCAACCATTTGAAAATCTCTCCCACCTTTATATTTTCCTGATTGATACAACCTTCAATTTTTTAAGTCTTCTGTCAAATGTTTCCTTACTCTTTAACTCTATTCTTTCTAGTAATTCCCAACTTAATAGTGGTTGCTTGCAGCCTTGTTGGGAGTGAATCACAATAAAAAAATAAAAGAAGATATTACACCTTATTAAACTATTTTCTTATTGATGCCTCAGTTACAAGACCTCTGGCTCTGCTCGCTTTTGCAAGAATTCCTTATGACGGCTAATAAATTTATAAAACCAGTTTTTATTTGTATATCTTCAAATGGTGTTTTTATACAATGTACTTTATACAATGTAATTTTCTATTGTTCTCCAAGATATGATGCCAGAGTTTTGCTGTATGGGTTAGCTTTTACCAGATAATTTATCACATATAACAAAACAAAAAAATCATCCAAAAAAATGTTTGCATAAATGGTAAGTGCTAACTAAAATAATTTTTGTAATCACCTACCCTGTCAAGGATTACACAATGTTATACAAAAAATACTACTATATTAAAAAAAAAAAAAAAAAAAAAAACAAGGCAAAAAAAAATCATGTTTTTTTACACTTTTATTTAAGTTTTTCTTTTATTTTTGTTTAGATTTCTTTTCTTTTTTTTAAACAAATTCATTTTTTTTATAATTATCTCCTGTCAGTCAAGTTAAGCTTTTTTTACACATTTCTGAAATGTTTTCAAAAAAGCTAAAAAGCCATAGCCAAGTTGTCACAACTAATTATTATATGCATAGTCAGGAACAGAGTGCGATTGCACCAACTTCCTAAACAAGCCTATATATATATATATATATATATATATATATATATATATATATATATATATATATATATATATATATATATATATATATATATATATATATATATATATATATATATATATATACATATATATATATATATATATATATATATATATATATATATATATATATACATATATATATATATATATATATATATATATATATATATATATATATATATATATATATATATATATATATATATATATATATATATATATATATATATATTATAGGCCTCGGCGGGAATAAATAAGTTTGAGAGCAGAGAAAAACTTGGGGAGCTGTGCAAGCTGCTCCTCATTTAAATCGGCGCTCTTTTTTAATTCTAATTTTTTTTTGCAACAACCGTGCCTTTTTAAAAGCATTTCAGTATATTATGCAGTTAATTTTTTTTTAAATGACATTGTGTTTTTTATTTTACTTAAAATGATAATTATATTTTTATGAGAAAAATTATACTTTTGCCAGAGCCATAAATAGCTCTCGTAAACAGTTTCAGGGGAGTGTGGGTGAGAGCTAAAGCTCTAGCTTCCCTCCGAGCCCTGTATATACATATATATATGGAAGTATAAAAAAAAATCAATATAACAAAAAGATACTTGTTAAAGCTAGATATGAGTTGAACCCCCATCCCATTGATTAATGAAGACAACTTTACAGTAAAATCAGTTTCATCCTCCTATAATCAAAATAGCAATTTGCATGATTTCATATATTAGCATGTTAATTATGCAATTATTGATGATGGCTTATTATAGTCAACATTCTTAACAATTATTTATTTACTTTTTTTAATTTATTCTACTTTATTACACTTTATGGTTCAAAAAACTGAACCTATAGATAACTTACATTATTTTTTCAGTTTAAAATTTATTTCAAAAAACCTTATATATAATTAAAAATATATTATCAGTTTTCTCCGTTTAGTCAACACATTCACGCTTGACTGTACATATGCAAAAAACTTTGGCAAGAATGTAATAAACACTCATCAAAAAAATATGTTTTTTTAATTGTAACAAGTCATTTTTGTTTATCAAATACTTTAATGAAAAATTATGAGTTTCATGTATGAATTTTATTTAGAATTTAAATAAAACATTCATTTTGCCATTTTTTTTTTCAATTATTTTATGTAGAAGATAAAACATTTGTTTTGCTGTTTTTATTTTAATTATTTAATTAAGATTTTAAATAAAAAGTTGTAGTAAGCGAAAAAAGTCAATGAAAATAAAAACTACAAATTCAAACAAATAAATCAATTTCATTATTAATCGACTCTGCTAAAAATTTATATAGAATAGTTTTTTTTATTTATTGGTTATTTTTAAAGTATGACATTTTACCATTGATCATTGTTTTTAAACATCTTTAAACAATTCTCTTTACCTTCCACAGTATTACTATTATGATTTCATGTTTTTTTTTGTTCTTTCATTTTATTATCATTATTGTTGCTATTGTTATCATTATTATTATCATTTTTTATAATTATTATTAACTTTATATATATATATATATATATATATATATATATATATATATATATATATATATATATATATATATATATATATATATATATATATATATATATAAAGTTCTGCATTTTTGGTTTACTTAAGATTAATCACTGTTTGTAAATATCCAAAAAAATATTTTTCAAAATTTATATGATTGACTGTGCCATTTTATTATTATTTTAATTATTATTTTTTTGTTTTGAATTTAACTAAACATTTGTTTTGCCTTTTTTATTTCAATTATTTTATATTTCTGGCATTTTTATGTGTGCTACCAATTTCAAACAGAGAAGACTGGATTAATTGATTAGTTAAATTATAGATTAAACTATAAATTTATGTTATTACATACATAATAATGGGTTATCGACAATATAAACAGTCTTTTAATTAAATATGAAATTAAATTCAAATCAACAAACAACAGTGCATAGCCAACCAAGATTACAAGGGTTGTTAACAAAGAAAAGCTTAAAATTACTATTGGTCACATTTTAAAAGTATTTTTAAAAATTGAATTTTTAATTTTACATTAATATAAAGCAACTCTTATTATTCAAAAATTGCTTTAATGTCCAAATATTTTATTCTATTATTAAATTAAATATAAACAAATTAATTTTATCAATATTATTAATTATTCAACTATATAAATAATATGTAAAAGTTATATGTAATTATAAATAAAATTATACTTAATTAAATTTTACACTAACATTTTTTGGTTAGGAAAAAAAATTACAATTATAGTTACTCATAACAATTTTGAGAATCATTGTTTACAAAACTTTGCTGATGGTACAGCTCAGTTATTTGCAGTAACAGTGCAAACAACAAGATAATAAAATATTGTGGTATTAAAAAACAATGATAATAACTCTCATATTTTGTGACATTTTTAATCACTTCTTGAAAATTTTTTCCACTAATTTAACATTTCTAACTTACACTATTTTTAGGGCTTTATTTTTGTGGTTTGATTTGTTAAAACTTAATTTTAGGGCTACTTTCTTTTTGTGGTTTGTTAAAACTTAATAATAAAATTAAAAGATATTAAAATTAATAATAAAAATATATAAAACAATTCAATCTAAATCCAAAAATAATTACAATGTTAGCAGAAAGAACTCCAGTGTTTTCTAAAACTTTAGCAAGTGATTTAACCAATTGGGTCTTTGGAGCAGGTTCCATTCCTTTAAAAATAGAAAATTTAGATATTACTTTTATGTAAAAAGATTTTATAATTAAGTAACAATAGTAATTGACTTATTGATTATACATATTTTTAAATATTTAGAATATAATACCTTTATTTATTATCTCTAGAAAGCAACTACATGTTGATCCACGAAGTTTCTCGTTACTTAGATAGCCAAGTAAGTGACTATACAAATACAAATACACACGCTTACAAATATATATACATTATATATATATATATATATATATATATATATATATATATATATATATATATATATATATATATATATATATATATATATATATATATATATATTCAACACAAAGAGGTTACCATAAAACATAGAAATGAGGTTGACAATTTTTTGCCAACTTTAAACACTTTTTGGTCGGAAGTTGGGTCAGCAATTCCGAATGCCGGCTATGCTGACCTATATATAATATACTGGTTACGAACACTTATAAACATAACTAATTTTAACATTGTTTTAAATTCTTTTCCTAAGGAATTTACTTTCTTTCAATTTGTGAAGTGTTAAGATTGTCTAGAAGATGATGTGAAGGAAAAGACTACAATGAAAAACAATGATGAAGATAAATGGATGATGATGAATGGATGGATTCTTAATGATAAACAACTTATGTTGAACTTTAAAAAAAAAAATTTTAAAAAATAAAGAATAAAAAATTTCTTGTAATAATTTTTAAATTATCTGGCTGCAATTAATACTTTCAAGTAAATTTACTTGTAAAGCTTCTGCATACTATTTTTTTTCTTTTTAATATTTTAAACAATCTTCTGTTATCTGTTAACAAAATTTGATTTGAACAAAGGTATTCCCCAAAAAGTCCGGTTTTGCCAGAGAGATATTTCTTTCAAAGGGCAAGATAAGGTGATTGCAAATTACAGTATCTAGAAATACTTTGGGTCTTTAAATTTTTAATTTTTTAAAACTGTACATACTTTTAAAACACAAAATTTAATAGCTGTTATTCAAAAATAATATTTGTGCATTATTATTATTGATAATTATAATAAATCTTGATCTTGAAATTATAAAACATTAGAAAACCAAATTATTATTGTTATTATTATTATGATATATAATTAATATAATTATGATATATAATTAATATAGTTAAAATAATTTAGTTATAATGAAATTATTTATGAAATATTATTTATCATGATTTAAACTTTCTTGATTCAATTTTTTTTTTTAAAGTTTTCTTACAAATCAAATAAACTTTTTTTTTTTAGAAGTCATTTAAATGAGAGTAACTCTCTAGTGCAGATACTTATATAAAATGAAAGATAGAGGTTTTTAAAAACTTAAATAAAACTTGTTTAAACAACTTATAGTTGTTTTAAAATAAAACTAAAAGACTAAAATAACATATATATTAAATTATATTTGTTTATCATTATATTTATTATCAGTTAATTCAAAACATTTTAAAAAATTTAATTATTAAAAATTATAATTAAAAAAGGTTTTAAGAATACCCCACATATTTTTTGGACACATTTATTTGTGAAGTCTGTTACATGTAATGCTTTATTTATGAAAAATAATGGACAATTAAAAAAACAATTTTCAGCATAAACTTTAATACAACTTTATTTGTTTAAAAATAATTGAAGTTTGTTAAGACAGGTCAACTAACCAGATTCTGCATTCTTATAGTAAAACAGAACATTTGCAAAACTGATGGTAAGAAGTATTATATCAATATTACATCAAACAAAAATTTTTTTGCCTTTAATGTTATATATAGAGTGTAGAGAACAAACAAATTAAATTTGCGTATAAGGAACTTGCAATTGTTATACATACAACAGTTAAAAAAAACAAACACCAACAAGCAATATAAAAACAAAATCAAATAATTTAAATAGATAACATGTCAAATAATTTAAATAGAAAAAACAAAAGCTACCATAAACTAAATACAAAGTTAAAAGTTTAATAATGTTCGAAAATGGAAAATAATAATAAAAAAGAACAACAAATTTTACTATCAATAAAAAAAGAAAGTAAAAAAACATTTTTTTTTTTAATTTTTAAAATTATTTTTTGTACACTGTTTATATGCATTTTTGTGCTTAGTTTAAATTGTCCTGTATTTTTGTACTTTGTTTATTAAATAATGTAATTTTGTGCGCTGTTTGCATGGTTTGTTTGTTGTTTTTAGTTGTTGTTGTTGTTGTTGTTTTTTGTTGTTGTATTCTTGTGAATTGTTCATTGGGCATTGTAGTGAATAGTTCATATTGTTATATGTTTTAGTACGTTGTTTGCATTGGTATGTATTTTTTATTTAGTTTAACGTTGCCAACTTTGTATTAGTTGTATAGTTAGCTTTGTATAGTTATTGTGTTTATAAAAACTTATTATTTTTATGACTATTATTATTGTTGTTATCATTACCATTATTATTGTTATTATTTTTAAATACTATTTTTATTATTATCATTACTATTTTATAATTATTATTAATTATATATAAAAAGATCTGTATTTTTGGTGATTACTTAAGATTAGTAAAATTACTATTTGTAAATATCCATGAAAATATTTTTCAGAATATATGATTGATTGATTGAATTAAAACCAACATAAATACATGATAAAACATAATAAATACCTTATAAACCGATCATTTGCAATAAGATTTATGTTTATCCAAGAAACAAATGCTCCCATCACTTTTAAGCATAAGCAAACAATACTAGTATCAGCTTGCTCATAAAGTTGTAAAATTTGATACCAAGATTCAACTAAGTCATTAATGCAGTGATCCCGCATATAATCTTTAATTGTTGTGTTTCGCTCTAGTTCCTTAAAATACAAATGCAATATTTTTGAAGATATTTTATATTCTCATAAAAGATTATTTTTAATCTAAATCTAAGATGATCATAATCTCAAAAACCAATTTAACAAAATAAAAAATAACAAAAATAAATCTAATTAAATTAAAAAAAAAAAACAATATTAGAATAAAGTGTATTTGCTTGATATTAGGTTATGACAAATTGCAAAAATAATGATAATTGAAATTCGCTTTTAGTTGAAATGCGCATTTAATTAAAAAAATGTAAATATTTGCACCTTATTTGTATCTTATTTATATTAATGATTTTTCTGCCTTATATCTTACATCTAAATTAAATCTATTCGCTGACAACAAAACTACCAGTCTTGAACTTCTCACTTCTTTAAAAGATTGGGACTTGCAGTGGCTATTGAATTTTACAAATTCTAATTTCATTCTCTACCTCTAGAAATCTCATTTGTAAGAAATAGTTATCATATATGAAGTGGCTCTTCTAATTATGACTTATTTCTTCAAGATAAGTTCGAAAAGTTACTTTATCTGCCAAGCCTAAGCAGTTCTTTTTGACTACATCCATGATAGTATTCATAGAAAAGAAGAGATGCATGCTTAAGATGATTGAACTGTGTTCAATCATCTTAAGCATGCATCTCTTCTTTTCTACGAATACTATCATGGATGTAGTCAAAAAGAACTACTCTAGTTCTTAAAACTTATTTTATTATACCTATTATTTCTTGCAGTAAAAACATTTATTCTTTCCTTGAACATCAATGCTTGTTAAATAGAACTGTGTTTCTGAGTTTACGTTTTCCTGACTCATACAATTTACATTTCTTTTAGTCTTCTGTCAACTGTTCTTTTTGTCTTCTGTCAACTTGCTCTTTAATGATTTTCTTTGGTTTCTGTAACTCCCAACTTAAATAGTGCTTGATTACAGCCTTGTTAGGAGTGAATTAATTTTTAAAAATAGCAGTGCAAAAGCCAGCAAAGGAAAAAATATAACATAAATGTATAGCCGATCCAATAATAAAAGCAGCAGTAATGGTAACGATTTCAAAATACAAGGACAACACATAGATGTAGTGAAAAATATACAACACATAAGATGTAGTGAAAAAAATACTTCATTACAAATTTACAAATCACCATTTTGATGTTTTATTTAATTGTGCTATACATGTTACAATGATGTGTAACAAAAATACTATATATGGTAAAAATGATAATAACAAGTTAATAAAAATTATTGGCATTGCAAGATCCAATTAGAATAAGGTTGAAAGTGGACTAATAAACTTTATAGAAAACAATTTGGAGTAATACAAACACCATATAGTAAAATAGTTAGAAATAAAAGGAGCATGTGTAATGCAATAATGAGAATAATGCCCTAAATACAAAAATGATTAAAAAAAAAACAAGTAAATATTGACAATAAAAATTAAAGTTATATACCATACTATACTGAATATAGATATACTGGCTATAACTAGTATGTGAACTAAGTAAATAACTAAAAACAGAATACGTAATAAAATATAATATGTAACCAAAATATAAAAACTATTTTAAGGAACAGCATATCTAATTATACAAATACTTGCAAACTTATAGCAAATATCCATAAATCAGTCAGAAAGAGCAATATGACCAGTACCTGTTAACAAGACATCAAACTGAAAGCAATATATATATATATACATATATATATATATATATATATATATATATATATATATATATATATATATATATATATATATATATATATATATATATACACACACACACACACACATATATATATATATATATATATATACACACACACACACACATATATATATATAATATATATATATATATATATATATATATATATATATATATATATATATATATATATATATATATATATATATACGGTAAGTTCTAATGTCGAACATGTATATATATTTATATATATATATGTGTGTGTATATATATATATATATATATATATATATATATATATATATATATATATATATATATATATATATATATATATATATATATACACACACACACACATATATATATATAAATATATATACATGTTCGACATTAGAACTTACCGTATTGTTTTTAATTTTGTCATTTTTAAGACAAAGAGTTGTTAGGAGTTTTATTTGAGCACAAAAAAACAAATTCTTTAATAGTGTTTTGTGCTCAAATAACTTTTATATGAAGCACAAAACACTTTTAAATAATTCATCTAGTTAGTTTTCCTCAATATCAATGCTTCGGAATTTTTTTCCACCTTTATTTGTTATTGAACAATACAATTTAACATTAAACCATACAACTTCACAAATTTTTAACATAAATAGTGGTTGTTTAAAACCTTGTTGAAAGTGAACTTGTTAATTAAAATAACAATAAATAAAAAAAACATTGACATTTATTTAAAAGAAAAAAAATTATGTCTTGATTGTAAACATTAGATGTTAATTATAAATCTAATTCAAATTCTGTTCATTAAAACTTTAGTAAAGTTTGATTCATTTAAACAATCAATAGATAAAAATCAAATAATTATATATGTATAAATCAACATATAAAATTTGTCAATGAATTTACCTGTTGAGTATGTGGTATATGACGAGCAACAACTTCTTCATCAACAGCAAGAAGTACACGCAAGTATAAATCCACAGCAAGAGGTCCTTTTTCAAGAAGTTCCAACATTTCAGTGAAAAATGAGGTCCACTATTTAAAAAGATAAACAAAAATTAAACAAAACTGTAACGCACTCGAGCTTATTCAACAGAAGCCTTAGCACACCATAAATTGATGAACACAGAAAAACACACCATAAATTGATGAACACAGAAAAACACACCATAAATTGATGAACACAGAAAAAGAAAATATAATTAAGATACAAATAACAAATCTTGAGAAAAAATAATCAACTTTGTAAAAATAAGATTTTATAGGAAAAAACATAAATAATAAAGTTAAATACTCAAAAATTAATGCCCTTCAAACGAAAGCAAAATAAGAAAAATGGATGACTACAATGCACATAGATCATCCTAGTCATATTTTAAAAATCCGGAAAATTGTTTGAATGAAATATCCGGAAAAAATCTGTTGTTTTAAATTTTTTTGACATTTTTAATAATTTTTCTATGAGTGATGAGTGAAAAAACTTAAAAAACAAATATATAACAAAAATATATATCTCAACATGCATGTATTAAAAATGTTTTGAATATCCGGAAAAACTTAAAGTTAAACAAAATATCCGGAATTTCAGAAATGTCTGGAAAAAGATAATCCCTGAATGCAGCAGATAAAAGCAACAATAAATGGTGTGCAAATAATGGAAAACAAGACAAAGAGATGAACAACAATGCAGCAGATAAAACAACAATAAATGCAGTGTGTAGAGCAGATAGAACAATCACAAGTCAAACAAATGTGTAAGATTAACTTTTTGTATTTTTTGATTTCAAAATCTGTTTATTTATTATTTATCGTGCAGCAAAAATTTCCTTGGATTAATCAAGACATACTATTGTTGGTGTCTTGAATTAAATAGCAAAGTTTTTAATTAAGATAAAATATCTTTTAAACTGGATTTAATAATTTATAATATAAATTAGTTTTTTTTTTAATAACAAAAACTTGTGGACATGTGGGTGTATGAGGACATGTGGGTGTATGGAGTGGAGTAAAATATTTGAAATAATTGGTAAAATAAACCATTTTCAATTTAAAATACATGATTCAAATATTTATGTAACAGAGATATTTAAAGTAATTTAATCATGTAATCTTTAAATTTAAAAATTTTATTTTATTTTTCTACTAGTGGCTAACTATTTCAAATAAATGTACTTTAAAAAACATGTACTTTAAAATAAAATGTTTTTTTTTTTTAATTTTATTTAGCTCACCAGAGGACATAATGAATAGCAATAGTCCTACACCCTGGCTCCTAAACTCTATGCAAAACTTCTACATTATAGAATACATTTTGAAATGAGTTTCCAATAGAAAAGGTAATTAGTTATTCATTCAAGTTTCATCTATGTCATATAATTATAGTTTTATTCAACAAAACACTGTAAATTACAGTATCAAATACTTAGACATTCCAACACAAACTTGTCATACTATACTGTCCATTTTTCTGTCAACCTTGTTTATTAATAAATTGTTGTAGATTTTGCACTTAACCACACCACCACTTCTACCGCTCACACCACTGGTGTCAACACTGGTGGTGGTGTGTACTGGTATGTACAGTGGTGGCTCACACCACCACTGTAGATACCAATTGCATTACAATTTAGTAACCATAGTAACCATTTTAAAACTTTTTTCTTTTTAAATAAAATCTATATCAAACTAATACATATTTCAAATAAAACATATAGAAGAAAAATAAATTACTTTATTAGGGTATTCTTGTATAAATACCAAACATAACAAATGAGAGGTCTTGTTGAGAATAAAGTTCTTCTGTTGAGTTATGCAACACTGAAAAATTAGTTTTAATAATATTTATAAACTATTATAGTTATAAATTACTATATATACCAAAAAATTATTTAAAGAGTTATTTAATAAAAACAGAAGTTGGCTTTTATTAATTTACTATTAAGTAACTATTAAGTTATTACAACTCACAATAAATCTTTTGATTTATTGCAAGAAAAATCAGGAAACAGAACATAAAATCTTTAAGTAAACTAAATCTAAAAAGCTGCAGTTAATCTTAAAAAGTTGCAGTTTTTTAAACTCAATCAAAATGTTATATCTTAAGTGTTTAGTAATTGTGCTACCAGGCAACAGTAGCAAACAAAATTGATCAGATAAAAAATTATTATTTATGAAAGCATTTATCTAGTGCTTATAATAGCACAATTATGGGTATTATGGGCACATTTTATCCGAGATATTTCTCCTAAACTGATACTTTAAATAAATGAAGCAAGAACACACACACAAAAAAACATACTTGAAAATACCACTTTCGTAAGCAACTTTTTAAATTTTCTTTCATAGAATCTTCAATTTGTGCATACCTACAATAATAATAATAAAAAAATCTTTATAGCATAAAATCAAAAAAAAAAAAACTTAAATATTTGAGTAAAATTTGATTATCCCTGAAAACAGGGCTTTGGAGCAGATGTAAAAAAAATCTGCACCATCCCCAGGCTACAGCTCTATTAAAATTTTGAGCTCCAGCTCTGGCTCCAGAGCAGATCCGAAGCGGCTCTAGAAGAAACAAATCAAAAGAATAAAATGTCAGGTTTTGGTGGTTATATCAAGATTGCTTGATAAAAACTCAAGTGCAGAAAAAGCCTCTCTTTAGAAAAGAGTCTTTACATGCTTGTGAGAAATAATACATACTTTGTATCCTTTTCGGGTATTTCTCAATTACCTCAAAAGCTGATTTCACTTTTAACCCTTTAATGCATAGAAGCCTTAATCATAAACTTTTCACAATATTTTGACAGTTTCTCAAACTACTTATCTTAATCACAATCTATTGTTGTATTTTTTCAATTTTTACACTGCTTTTGTGGAGAAAAAGAGCATCCATTGTAATGGACATAGTATATTTGGGGAAAATTATTATTATATCTTAACAGGCAGTATACTTGTTGCTTACATTTGTTTTAATCCATAGAAGTGTTTATACATAGTCTGTATATACATACTCAGTATCCTTTTTGGGTATTCTTTAATTCCAACAAAAGCTGATTTCAATCTTAAATGTTTCTTTTCTCCCAGTGTTGACAGCCGTCCATGAAATTTGTATTAAAAATGTTTTTATTTACACACTTTTTTTATCAAGCTCTTATTCAAACTGGTCTAATTCTTCATCAGAATTAGATTTACCTAAAACTGAATGAAGTGCTGTAGATGGTTCAGCTGTTTTTCTTATTTCTTGACATACTTATATTTTTGGCATCTCTTTTACAATAGTTATTTAATAGTTTAATTATAATAGTAATTATAATCAGCTATTGCTTTTAATTATAATTGGCTATTGCTTTTAAGGCTTGTTTTGCCCATATATCTGATTCTCTTCTAACAATATTCTACATTTAGCATCAACATAAACTGCAGCTAGAAATATATTATGATTCTCATAGTTTCTTCACATAAATTTTTATTATCTAAATTTTTTATTTAAAAGTGTGATTGTCTCTAATGTTTTAAAGTAACTTTTAAAGTATCGTAGCAACATAAACTATGTGACATATTACAAAAAACAATTTGATCAAAATTAATTTAAAAAAAAATCCTGGCATTTTTCTGAATGTATACAAAACAACTTTTTATACTTCAGCTCAAATATAATTTATACTAGGGTTGCTAGTTCGAACATGTTCAAGTTTAAACGTTCGAACTTTTTTGCAAAAAAGTTTAAACTATTAGGAGGAAAATGTTTAATTTCGTACTTTTTTCTCCTAATAGTTTGAATTTTTAAATTTTAAAAAATGATGTCTTTTCATAAATTTTTGTAAAACAAGATGAAATATAAATAAAATATATAAATTTGAATATATTTGCTTTTTTTGTTTGTCTGGAAACTCTAAAAATATAATCAAAATTACATCAACTGTAGCGCCATCGCATTTAAGGTAGGATCGGTTTTTTCCTATTAAAAAGTAGTTAAACAGTGGCTGTTACATTTTCACCATTCGACAACTGTATTTACGTTTGAAATTAAAATTATAAAGAGTTTTAAGTTCAAACAAAAAATGGCTGCTCAGCGTTAGCACATCTAGAAGATCTGAGGTTTAGGAGTATTTTGATTTGCTGCCAAAAGCTGCAACAAACGAAATGTGTCTCAACACACACTATAACAAGACACTTAAAAATAAACACAAAATAGATGTTCTCAAATGTAATAACATCAATAAAAATTAAATTAATAGAAAAATAACTGAATACATAAAAATGATATATTTATTAAACCCAATTGTATTAAATCAAGGTAATCAGTTTGAGAACAAAATAAAAAGAAATAATATAGATAGTTTTGCAATTTAATCTTATTCAAAGATTATTCCAACTTCGGTATTAATAAAAAAAGCCAAAAATGGCAACGATATTAGAATTTATAACGAATTGTAAAGCTAAAGAACTGAAAATGTTTAATTAAAAAATATGATTTTTAAATGGTATGATCTCATGAAAGGGCTCTCTAGCCTTGTATTGTTTTCGCATAGAAAAAAGAAACTGGTTGCAGGATGATACCTTCCATTTACTTTTTATAAACAAATAAAAAGTCTATAAACAAATTAACAGTTTTGTGTTTTACTTGTACCCTTTTGTTTTCAATTTTAAATAAATAAAAACTATTTTAAAAAGTTCTAAAAAGTTGGAACTTTTTTCCTCAATAGTTCGAAAGTGTTCGAGTTTGAACTTTTTTTAAAAAGTTCAAATTGGCAGCCCTATTTTATACAATATTAAATTTTTAAGTGCCTCAAGGTGAGCATCAAATTCTAAACACTGAATCTATATATATAATATCAATATCAAAGTATTAAATGCTTTATTTAGAAATTATAAAACATTAAATGACATTATTATTTACAGTTTAACTCATACTTTGATCTCCCAAATTATTAAAGAGGAGCTAGCTTGGAGTCAGCTCCACCTAGAAATATTTAAGCTCCAGCTCCGGCTCAGCTACTTGAAAAAACACTAGCTCCAGAAAGCTCCAGCTCCAGAGCAGCTCTAAAGCCCTACCTGAAGGCAAAATTCAATATATGGTGACATACGAATAGCAGCACCTGTGTTTCAACCTTGAATGACTTAAGCTGAGCAAATTTTGCTAATATTTTTACTTACAACCTCTTTTTTTTAAAAATTAACTAAACAATGCTGCATGCAACCACTATTAAGTTGGGAGTTGCTAGAAATCAAAAAGTATTGTTACAGAACAAGGCAACAGATTACATAAGACTTAAAAGTTGTGTATTATATGTGTCAGGAAAATACGAAGATGGGAGAAAGTTCTAAAGTATTGGTGTGCAAGGAAAAAAAAACTGGATACAGTAAAAATACTGTAAAAATATACTATTAAAAAGTTTTTAGAGCATGAAGGGACAGTAAAATGTTTGCAACGTTGCTGAATGATGAGTAAAGCAAAAATTAGTTTTGGTTGATGGATGATAGCTTGTTCGAACAGCAATCATGGTTGTATTTGTTGAAAAAAGAAAACGATGCAACCTTATCATGATGGGGCAGTGGTTTGAGCTTGGCAGATAGAGCAGGTCTATTTATACTAACAATGTATTATTACCTTGTCTAAATAAGAAAGAGCGTCATAAGAAGAACCAACCCAAATATGGACATAAAGTATAAAAAGAACCTTTTTGTTAAAACAGTTAGCAAGCTGCAAAATGAGAAGATCAGAACATGCAATATTTCATAATTTGAATAATTGCAGAGATCGGAATCTGTATTTATTCCTATGCAAGAAGATTCAAAATCTGTATTGAAACCTTTTTGGATTAACAAATTTTCAAAAAAATTTTATATACAACATAACTTTATATAAATACCTTATATTTAGAATAACTACATAAATAGATTATGGTCAGCAGGTAGCACAAGTGTCAAATATGATTTAAAAAGGTTTTAATATATAACTATACATTTTAAAAAATACAAATAAAATTAACTGTTTTAAAAAAGAAAGAAACCTGGTCTTGATATGGGCTTCTAGTACTTGTAAACAAAAAAATTGTACACGCTCATCTCTAAAAATTGTAAAAAATAAATAACTTATCAAATAACTTACTTTCCTGATAAATATAGATATAATAATAATAATAACAATAATAATAATAAATTTTCTTAAATATTTTCTTGCTGCGCAAGAAAATATTTAAGAAAAACACAAGGACTAAACTAAATAAAAGTGCTTAATTTAGCACAAAGTAAATACTTTTATTGTTTTTTTAATTCTTTCTTGCTTAAAAGGGGTAGCAACTCTTTAGCTCCTTGTCAGTAGACCATGAGCTGTAGCAGCATTTTAGTGAATAATTATTATATTATTATTGGCTGAAGTGTTGGTCATTATGATTTTTAAACTTATTAAGATGAGGAGTCACAGTTTGTGAGATTAAACTCCATCGGCTGACTACTCTGTTAGAGAAGAAATTAATTGTTGAAATCAGTTGTTGCTGAGGTCAGTAGCATTAAAGATCTTTTTGAAGAGATACACAGAGTGTCCTCAAGTTTTTCAAACAGAAGGATGGCAGATTTGTAGGTTAAGCCAAAAAATACTTTCTAAGTTATTAATAAACTTGAAGTTGTAGATTAAATCAACTTAAATGTGTCTTTCATAAAATGAGGTGAGATGAAGACCTGGATTCATCATTAAAAAAATTTAAAAAGTTCAAAACCGCACTGGTGGTGCGGTTTTGAACTTTTTAAATTTTTTTTATGATGTGCACAGAAAGAAAATTTTAAACAGGAGTGACCAACAATATGTAGTCTCTTTCAAACTTGTGCACTTTTATAGATAAAAGCTTTCTTTAGTTGACCGAGGACAGAATTAGCTTTTAATAATATTATTTCCACACACATGCAATATCTCTTTTGTAGTAAGAGGGAATTGAGAAGCTGTATCCCTTGTGAAGTCAAGATATAGTATTAGTGATTAGGATTTTTGCTTTTGTGTAAGGATAAGGTTAAGGATAAATTGTAGTTAAGATGCAAGCACCAGGTTGTCAAAATGTGATTTAATTTATATCGTTCTGAAATATAATTGGGATGTCAGGGGTTGAATTGGTGGAATCAACTTTGCTGCACTAGGCCTGTAATATCATTGATGTATGAAATAAATAGAAGAGGTCCTAGAATAGATCCTTATGGGGTACCACTAGCGACTGGTAACCAATCTGAAATAGCAGATTTCATGAACACTCTTTGTGTTCTGTTAGAAAGAAAAAAGTCTTCAGTTAAAAAGAAAAAAGTCTTCAACAACAACAATATTTGCTGATGGGTAAAGAGAGGGCTTGGTCAACATGATCAGAAATAACATCAAGAAGAGTGCAGTCTTGAGATGAAGGAGATCGATATAGAACAAAGAGAAACATGATAGAGTAAAGTGGTGCTAAACGAAAGCACATAAAAGAGTAGTCTGCGGATTCAAACCTAGTGTTCTGACAAATGGGTGAATTCTTATGAATGTAAATGCCCAGGCCAAGTATGTGACTATTGGAGTTTTTACGATTTAAAGGAAGATAACCATCAACACTAAGATCACAAGATGAGACAGCTGAACTCAAATTAGTCTCACAAAGAAGCAAGTAGGTCTTGTGAACTTTGCAAGAGATAAGACTCAACAAAAGAAAATTTACTTTGAAGACCACGAATATTAGTGAATGATAGGTTTAGCGAACTTGGTAATAACTGTGATTTTTTGTGTTTTATAGTTTTTGTTACTTTATTCAAAGAACTTGACTCAAAGCATAGATTGTACTCAGTACACTGTTTAATAGCCCAAGCAATTGCCTCATTACTATTAATAAATCCCAAGCCATAACAAAGGGCTCCAATGTGGCCTTGGCAATGCACACCAAAAGTACAAACAGGGACACCATCCATGTGCAACATGGCACTGTTAGTACTCTGATATTTTACAGCTGTTGATGGAATCAGCCTCTCTGAGAGCTACCACAGAGTTCGAGAAACCTGACTACCAGCTGGCCTCATAACCCTAAAACTGAGTTTTAGAGTTGTACTCTCATTAGGAGATAATAGAATGAGTTGCCTAGTCATAAAAACAGAAACACAAACAAAACCCATGCATCGAGTCAAGAAGATCCAGCATTCAATATCCTTAACTGGTCAACAGATAGAATCTGTTGAAAAGTCTTTGCCTAAAAGGCATTCTACAAGACAGCAGCCAGATGCATTTAACTTCTGCCCAAGATAAGTATTTTTATTGAAAAACTATATCAAGCTTCTACATATATATATACATACATATATCATTTTTTTCTTATGTTTATTCATTTTGTACGTCCACTCGCTTTTAAAATGTTTTTGCTATACCCAATATTTATCCCTCCTTACTTATATAATAGAAAAATAAAAACTGTTATTTATTTGTAAAATATACTGTTCATCAACAAATTTTGTCAATGACAAAACAAGGTAAACAAAAGAATAACATGTGTATTTCAAAAAATGCACTTACTGCATTTGATGCATGTATGACACCACCTCTTCCACACTGCCATATGTTAACACGAATAACCAGAGACAATGAACATAATGACCACTCCGCTCAAAAAAATGTATTTCAAAACCCCAAAAAATTTTTTAAATAGGCTCCTAACCACTTCATTAAAAAATTACAGCAAAGCAACAAAACACTAGCCCACAAGCCCTTGGAGCACTGTCATTTTTATCATTTTTATCATTGTTATTGATACTGTTGTAGACATGTTAAAACAGATTTAAGTTTTAAATCTGTTTTAACATGTTTAGAAACATGTTTCTTTCAAAAGTCATTCCATCAATGTGTGATTCCATCAATTCCATCAATTCTATCAATTCCATCAATTCCATCAATTCTATCAATTCCATTAATTCCATCAATGTGTGACCAATAACGATGGCGAAATGAAAGGGCTGATCATTTTGCTGACTTTCAAGTTTTTCTCTGTTGAGCCTGTTACATTCTAAATGTAGCAGTTTTAATTGCCTCTGTTGAGCAGGAGTTTAATATGGATTGATGTACACGCCACTTCAAACATTGTTAAGTCTTAAATTTATTAAATTTTTCATTAGGTTAGGAGGGCTACCACCCTTGATCAGAGTTTACCTCCTAGTTGTAAAATATTTTATATGCAAGTTGGGTTTGCAAACGAATACGGCTACTTTTAAAATGTGCAATAATGTAATATATATATATATATATATATATATATATATATATATATATATATATATATATATATATATACATACATATATATATATATATATATATATATATATATATATATATATATATATATACATATATATATATATATATATATATATACATACATATATATATATATATATATATACATATATATATATATATATATATATATATATATATATATATATATATATATATATATATATATATATATATATATATATATATATATATATATATATATATATATATATATAAAAATATATTTTGTAATTTTTTTTCTTATTAAATAGTTTAATTCTAATCCAAAACATTTAAATTTTTAAATAAATAATTCCATAAATTTTCTCCCTAAATAAAAATCTCTTTTAATGTTTTATATAATGCGCAGGTAGCTTTAGCATACTTTTTTATTGGTTGTTTTTTTCTACAAAGTTTTATACAATGCGCAAATAGCTTAAACAGTTTTTAATTAGTTGATTTTTAAATTACCGCGAAAGTTTTTCGGACCTTTAGTAATAATAATTTTTGTCTTGCAACTTTTTTTTATTTATAATCCTTATAATCCTTACATATATATATATATATATATATATATATATATATATATATATATATATATATATATATATATATATATATATATATTATATATATATATATATATATATATATATATATATATATATATATATATATATATATATATATATATATATATATATATATATATATATATATATATATATATATATATATATATATATATATATATATATATATATATATATATATATATATATATATATATATATATATATATATATATATATATATATATATATATATATATATATATATACACAGGGCTCGAATTAAGTGATCGCGAAATGTGATTTCTGGAAATGTTTCCGATCTTTAAAATTTTAGCTTTTTAAAAATCTTAAAACTGTTTTATCACTAAACTCAATAGATATCATTTAATAAAAAATATTTACGTTGATTATGATATAAAATCTTAATGTAAAACCATATTATCACTATTATTTTTACTATTATTAAAGATTATAATTTAAACTTTAATATTTTAATTTATTTTATAAATAATCAGATAAAACTAGAAAAATAAAGCACGATAAAGTACGATATAAATATATAAAAAAATAAGCGCTAATCACAACAATCTAAGGGACTTTAACAGTGATCGAATATTTTAAATAAAAGATATTGTTAATTAAGATATAAAATACTTTTATGTTGTTTAAATCTCATTCAACATTTTCTTATAAATTTTTCGCTTGTAACACTTTAGCTGATACGAATATAAAAATAAAAGACAGAGGAGTTAATATATAAAAACTAATTTAATTTTTTTAATAGTTACTTTAAAACAACAAAAAAAAGAAACTGTAATCATATATTTAAAAAAAATATATTTTGTAATTTTTTTTCTTATTAAATAGTTTAATTCTAATTCAAAACATTTAAATTTTTAAATAAATAATTCCATAAACTTTCTCCCTAAATAAAAATCTCTTTTAATGTTTTATATAATGCGCAAGTAGCTTTAGCATACTTTTTTATTGGTTGTTTTTTTCTACAAAGTTTTATACAATGCGCAAATAGCTTAAACAGTTTTTAATTAGTTGATTTTTAAATTACCGCAAAAGTTTTTCGGACCTTTAGTAATAATAATTTTTGTCTTGCAACTTTTTTTTATTTATAATCCTTAAGTTACATATTATTAATTATTGTTTAAAAAATCAATAACTAATAATATGTAAATTTTCACTGTTATTATTTTTGCAGTAG